GGGGGGGCGTGTAGGAAGAAAAAAGAGAATTTGGTGTGCAGGGGTCCGAGTTATCAGATCCGCTCAGGTCCACTTGATAATCTTGACCCTGATCAGTGTTGGTTTGCGCCAGACCAGTCGTAGTAGGGCATCTGCCAGCCATACGATTTGACTAAACGGTTCCGTTATTACGTTGTGGAAGGCATTTCGAGACTGCGACTAGCCTGACCTCTACTCTCTCGACGCGCAAGAGCCGAGCGGACCTGAATTTGCCGGAACTCACGGGTACGATAAGTTACGGGACCAGTTCAGAATGGAGCACTTTACCTTGCTCACTAGTTCTGTAATGTCGAGCTTGTTCCGAAGTGGAGGACCGGCATGAATGCATTCTCCCACATATGCAGCTCGCTATCCTACTGCGAATAGCTTCTCGGCATGGTGGAATTCTTCTCCTTCTCTTCTCCCACGTCTTTGCTGATCCTAAGTTTGTTATACCCCAGCTGCGGTAACAATGTCGACACCATGCGGAACGTTCTCTAATCTCAAAGCTAGCGAGACTATCGTCAAGCTTCCTCATCCGTACCAGACCGAGTACACCATCGAGACAGCCTCAACACCACTTGGTGTGAATACACCTGTCTACAGGCTTGTCCAGAACAATTCAGCGTCAACCAAGAGTCTACCTTTCGACCTTCACCACCCCGATCTTATTTTCTCTGATCCAATTGATCTCAAGTCGAGCGAGCTCCCACCTCAATCCAATAACAGCCCTTGGGCCCGGGCTCGCCGTTCACCATGCGTCACCGTCTACTGGAATGGAGCTGAAGCGCCAACGTTGGCACAGATCTGGCTGCTTACATATGCTCTCTTCACGGTGAGAACGAACGTGGAGTCATATCGACTAGAGCTCCGGGGCGCCAATGCTACCGTTCTGGGCCATCAGCTTATGGCAGTTTTGCTTGCGATTGACCACCCTCTCAAAGGCCGAGAAAGGCGTCAAGCCTCGACAAGGACCGATGAAAGTCTTGTTCTTCTGTTGCGAAGCACCTTCTGGCAGGGCGCTGGATCGCCTTTCGGACCCCGACCTGTTTGGTGCCCAGCCGAATCGCCCGCGTCTCTGCCAGCTTCGACCTCTCTCGGATCATACCCTTTGACTCCTCTTCATAACACAACGACCATCACACTGGCTGGAGATCCTGATGATCCTGAGCGAGTTCAGCAGTCGTGGCATCCAGTCAGGCCTGCCAAGCCCGCGCCTGGCGCAACGGTGTATAGTCGATGGATCCCTCACCTCAACGAAACATTCTCCATGGTTTCTGTCGACTTGAATGATGCTGAGCATGTGCGCTTATTTCATGAATGGCAAAACGACCCTCGCGTTTCTCAAGGCTGGAATATTACTGGTACTCTGGAACAACACCAAGAGTATCTGCGCAAGGTGCACGATGATCCTCATGTGGTTGCTCTCCTTGCTAAGTGGGACGATACCAACTTTGCATACTTTGAGGTCTACTGGGCCAAGGTTTGTTCACTCCTGTCCTCTGCTTCTGCGACAAGTTTCTGATTCTTTCTGTGACTAGGAGGACCGCCTTGGTGGGTATTTCAACGCTGGTGATTTCGACCGCGGCCGTCATTCACTTGTAGGTGATGTTCGTTTCCGAGGACCACACCGAGTGTCTGCATGGTGGAGTAGTTTGATGCACTATCTATACCTTGACGACCCTCGCACGATGTTCGTGGTGGGTGAAACCCAGGAGACAAACACCACCATTGTTATGTATGATTTCGTTCATGGCTCTGGGCTGGATAAGCTGGTTGATCTACCACATCAGCGAAGTGCTTTTGTTCGCTCTTCGCGTGAGCGCTTCTTCCAGCTGTGCCCACTTACAGACAACGAGAAGGTTGTCGCCGGTACGAAGCTTGGGCTTGTACCCAAGCTATAAAGGAAACGCTGATTCGGGTCATTGTGGATTAGTATTGTATATAGATAGTCGAAAATATAGTCGCGGAGTGATTTGAAAAGTTGATGCACTGAAATACATGATATCTATTTATCGCACATAAAGTTGAGGGTCGTGTTGGGCAGGCAGGCACGTTCGTACCTGCCTAGTGTGTCAGGGTCACCTTCCCTCAAAAAACAAAAAAAAACAAAAAACAAAGCGGTAGTCACTTGATTCCAACATCACAACTACATACTTCTCGTTGAGATCTATCTCCTGTTTATCTATAAAAACCCTGCTTGTATATTAAACCCCGTCACAGTTTTAGAACGCTTTTCGCCATCCGAACTAACGCTTCGACCCAATTCAAATCAGCCTTATTCGTTTTACAGCTTCGATGCCTTTTCCTGCTTTCGTAGGAGGTCATCGCCCAGCTTTGCCATCTCGAATTTGCGCACTTTGCCACTTCCCGTCAGGGGGACTGTCGCAGGTACATTATCATCTCCCAGCCAGAAAACGTGAGCTGGCGACTTGTGACCACCAAGTCTCTTGCGGCACCAGTCCTTGAGCTCCTCATATGTTGGCTTCTGATGACCGTCGGCCAGCTCAACAAAAGCACCTACGACTTCGCCATAATGCTTGTTCTTGAGACCAACCACAATGGCGCGAGTAACGGCAGTATGGTCCATCAAACGTTCTTCGATTTCGAGTGGATAGATGTTCTCTCCACCTATTGGCACCGGTTAGTTGGTCATTCCTCTTTCCCAGTATTCTAAACTCACCTCTAATAATAATGTCTTTGAAACGACCGGTAATTGAACAGTACCCATTCGCATCAAACACAGCTTCGTCACCGGTATGAAGCCAAAGAATGCCCGAACTATCCCGGACCATGGTTTCGTTGGTCTTCTCCGAGTTGTTCCAGTATCCGGCCTGAAGCTGGTAACCGCCAATACAAAGCTCTCCACGCTCTCCGATGGGAACAATGTTTCCATCACGATCAACGATCTTGGCTTTGGCATGAGGCATCAGTGTACCGACAGTTGTCAGTCGAGTATCGATGGAATCGTCGGTAAATGCGTTAAAGCAAGTGGGTGATGCCTCAGTGAGACCGTAGCTGCTGGTAAACTCAGTCATTCCGAATCGGTTGACAAGAAGCTCCATCAAATATCGCGGCACTGGTGCGCCAGCAATGATTCCAGTGCGCAGATTATCGCAACTGAAGTTGTCGGGCCATTTGGCTTGGAAGAGCGAGTCGAACATGGCAGGAACTCCATGAACAGCAGTGCATTGCTCATCAGAGATTGCTTGAAGCGTTGCCTGGATATCAAAGACCTCAGCTGGGTACACAATCTTGCCGCCGTGAGTGATGACAGCAAGAAGACCAAGCACCAAGCCAAAGCAGTGGAACAGTGGTGGAGGGCAACACAGTACATCAACAGGTCCAAGACGCATGCGATCGCCAATAAACCGAGAATTATTGACCAAATTACTACGAATTGATCAGCAAACATCCATGACTCTTGAGAATGTTTACTTACTGGTGTGTGAGCATAGCAGCCTTGGGGAGTCCGGTCGTCCCACTTGTAAATTGAAGATTGACCACTTGATGAGGGAGCACCTTTGTCATGGCTTGATACAGTCTTTGGTGGTTTCGTCGACGCCCAGCATTTACCAAACCTTCATAGGTCTCATACTTGCCGGTCTCGTCTCCCCGGAGCATCACAACCTTGGGGACGGTCTTTTTGTTTTCGAGCTGCTGTAGCAGTTGTGTCTGATCGAGCCGTCCAATTTGTGGTGTTGTGAACAGAAGTTTACTATCAGAAAACTTCAGGCCATACATAGCCTCAGTTGGGGTATATGTGTTGTTGAGAATGACAAGAATGGCACCAATCTTGGCCACGGCGAAGAAGACAGCAGCATATTGTTCACAGTTTCCTGCCATGATTGCGACGCGGTCACCAACCCCAATCCCCATATCTAGCAGAGATTGCGCCAAAGAAAAGCTCTGCTGGCTCAGCTCGTTATACGTCCAACGAGCACCGGTCCATGGAATGACAAGACACTCCTGGTTGCCATGCTGGTATGTTTGTAGCTCAAGAAGCTCGCCCAATGTAAAGTCAACAAGCGGAGGATCTACGGGACCTTCGAGCACCGAGAGCTTTTGTTGTTGCCGAGATGGCGAGGAGGGCACGTTTGCGATTTCGGTTGCCATGCTGGGAGCTGGATAAGTTGGGATCACTTCTGGTCGAGACGCTTGGAAGGAAACACCACTACAAGAGGTTGCGAGAAATCATACTTAAGAGGAACCGCAGTGGGTAACGATCAAGGGTCCTTCCTTGCAACCATATATTACGTGCAAGCTGAACGGAGGCTATCGACGCTTGCCCATCCGTATCAATCCGCCATGATAGCTTGCCCCACTGTCAGTGCCGTACTCCGTCCAGGCCCATGTTTTAGGATGGAATCGAAGCCAATTGTGGAATCAAGTGCGTAAATCAAGAGCCGGATGACGCCGAAACTTGCTAGAGCCCAGCCGTTGCGGCAATTATCGTGGTCCTTCGGTATTCAAGGGGAAGACGCCGTTTGACGCCAAGTATCGCCATCGGCGTCATCTTGCTCTTACATCTTGACGGAGGTGTCTTGGTATGGGCAGTTGATCGACACTGGTTGTTTCGTCTGATTGCTATCAATTCTAACATCGGTCAAAAGTTTCCAAAAGCACAGCTCTATCTGAGACCAGACCCTAGGGTTTAGTTCCAGTGTGACGGAACTCCTGTCGATGCTACCATCCATGTGCATTACTTCATCGCGTTGATGTTACGGTGCCATCTCATCGCACTAGCTTTTCATTCGATCCATTACGCCAGGCCAAGTCGAACCAAGATTTATCTAGTGGCTTTTTGGTTCGGAGTATCTAATCTGATCATCAGATAAGATGAGTTGCCCACCAAATCTAGAGCCAGGGCCGAGGTGTTTCTACACACACGCCCCTAACCGAGATCGGCCCACGCAGGAAAAATTTTATCTGATCAATTGCAGTTCCGCATATGCGTATGGGTACAGGCATCGGACGTAACCCCAATGGGGGAAACAAATTACGCCCACAACCGGAAGCTAAGGCTTTTGAAGACCGTTGGATTGTTAAGGTACGATTCTCGACTGTTAGTCTGTCCAGGTGGTATTCGTAGTGACAAATCGGCATACTTGATTTTGGCGAAAGCCCCGCTGTGTAGTGAAATAGCCATCATGAGATCCGTTCTTTTATACAGAGCCTCTAATTCTGACAACAATTCTCTTCTACTGACATCGAGGGAATCGCCATTATTTCTACTACGTTCGGTCTTCAGTTCCCAGATCTAATCTGCCAATGCGTATCGTCAGATTCTTTACCGTGAAACTCAAGTCCGTGCTGGAATACCGTTGAAGTTTAACCGTCAAGTTCGTTCATTTCCTCTCGCGGCTGAGGCCCTTGAAGCTACGACTAGAATTTGACCATAGAACACCGTACCCATGAAGAGGTGTTTTCTTTGTGAGATGCCAGTGGTTATCATCTCCGGGCTAGCCATCATCATTCTTTCAAGCATGGTACGCTTGTGTTTTGAGCCCAATGACCACTCTACACTTTACGCAGGATGCGGATCTGCAAATGAAGACACAATATCTATTGCTCCTCTTTCCAGAGCCACCAGAAATAGTGAAGGTTCATGCGACTAGCGCGCACTATGAAGCTTTAAAAGAGGGTAAAGTCGAATAAAGAACACGGCGTAACTCAAGAGTGTCGCTAAGGTTTAGCAGCCTAGCATAATTCCTGTCTGTCATGGAAAGGGGACCGAAGTCATGAGGTAAGTAGTCTAAGCTCTATGTTCTTTGGCATGGCTTCTTTCCCGTTGACGTGGTTCAAACTCTTGTCAAGTCATGATCTTCTGTTCTAAGCACTGCACTGCACATAACTGGTGAGCATATGTGACTCCCATGCGAAGTGTATGTGGTTACAGGATGGGTTGATATGTTTCGGAAGGCTATACGGACTTATTATTCGACATCAGCTAGAGTAATATGAGCCACAAGCTTTGTCCCTCGCTGTTTCTCAGCGGCTGTAGCTCGAACGGCTCTCTGGTTTGTCCTTGTCTGAGTGGTGATTCTATGCGTACCCAATTACTCCAGCTCCGTGCTCCTCTTACAACAACCCGAAATTCACCGGCGAAGCTCCACACCATTAAATGTGCCATACTATACCATAGTTTGATCTCATCATTCACAAGATGGCCTGATCGCCTATGTGCGAAAGCCCGAATCTCCCTCGCCGCCAACTCAGGATACATGATATCTGATTCAAGTTCCCTCGCGGGGTGCGATTTCTCATATACGCCGCTGATATCATGTTAATGAGCGTGCCAATCAACTATCTACCATGCCGATGTTGCGAATACTTTCCCTTATGGCTGCAGTCGCATTCATCATGGGTCTAAAGGATAAGGGCTGCAAGGTTCATAGCCATCATGGCTCGACCTATGAGGATCAAACTTACCCATGACAGCTACAGTTCTATTACTGCGAACAATCGTAATGCATTTATTTATCTTTTCCAACATTGCAGCTTGTGTAAGACTATCGCTTCGAACTGTTCCAGCGAGAGTATAACCATTGCTCGCGACCTGGAAGCTTGAAACACGTCAGTTAACGTTTCATGGATATTGGGACTTGACATTCATATCGAGAACACCCATACAAGCAAGGTACGATGAGCATGTTGGTACCATTGGGAAAGGATATCATTCTGATTTAGATCAGCATTGCTTTGGGTAGCCGTGGAATGTCCAAGGCTTACGAAATACCACAGATTTGTAGTGTCTTATCCGACTCAACAGAAGTTGATACCTCTTTGTCTGACAACTGCTTGTAGGCGTGCAGCGTGACCCTCAACAAAGACTTAGGATACTGGAGTGTACAGCCGAACACGCTTGATCCCTGAGAAAACTGGCTATACGTTGCTTACAGTTCAAGTAACTGGATTCCAAGGCTGAGGCCGAGCGACATACGGCATTGCATTTTTGCTGAGCCTTAGTAAATGTGCCAGAGGTTCGAACGACTAGAATTTGAACAACATACATCAACTCACCGGTAAGTTGGATGTCTGTCCATTCCAGTATATCGTTATTTGTCGAAGATATGGGACATGGCAATGGCCAACAATGCCAGGTACCTTCTGTAAAGTTGGACTGGGAACGTCGATGACTCGGTGCCTGTAGAAAAAACCTTGTTCGCGTTATACTCCGACTCAGTGTTGTTCCTCTATTCATGGTGGGCATCTTCCGAAGTTATCGAATCCTGAGCAGCTGTCACTAAGTACTTAACGAGTGATAACGTAGTACGCATTCTCCACAAGCTAACCTCGAGCCTATATACTAGTTGTAGTGGTGGTCTTGATACTTGGATCCAAGACTGCCGTCGATTCAGCTGCAGGTTTACTCCGTTTCCAAAAATGAGTACCAATTACGTGTTTCTTTGAGCCCAACTAAGTTTTATAAAGTGTAAGATGTCAGCTAAGTCTTAGAATTACGTTGAACTGCTTGGATACCTCGAAAGATCTTTCCTTGTCTATAGGATTTGAAGTTGCTGTGGCTATCAACTCTCGATCTACAGGAAGAGTTCAGTTTACTGGTGTGTATTCCTTTTTCATGTAGGTCTGTATTGAGATATTCTTGTAAATCAAGCTTTGAGGTCTGGTTCTTGAAGGACGAGTGTCTAACTGGAACGAGGACCAGCATATGTAGTGACGAGCCATGGCTGCATGATGCCGACCGGACCGGATATATGCTTAGATACCAAGGGCTCACTTCTGACTTGTTAGCTTGAACTGATGGTCAGGAACGAAATCTCAAAAGATTATAAGAGTGCCTCTTCCTGCCAAGCTCTTTGTGAGCCCATTGTCAGATAGGACAATAAATACAGTTTCTAATGATAACCCAAGATACAAAGTTTGAATTGTAGAGCAACCCTATCATTTACAATGGGGTACCCTTTCTCTGTTTGACATAAGCATAAACCTGGTAACTAAGTTTCAGGATAAACTAGCACTTCTGATAAGTTATTATTTTGTCACAGCTTCCAGGACCTTGATGAGATTCCGACTGCTGATTTAAGTATAAGTACACTATCATCCTTCTTGTACACCTAACGATCCAAAGCTGTTCAGGGGGCTTTTGTCGAATAGGAAACAGTCAGTTGGCCAAGCAGATGTTCTACATCTTTGATTTTCCTTCGTCCTAGCTGCAGACGCAAAACTCAGCAACACTGTGGATTCAGTTTAACTGCTGCGATACATAATTCCAAACTATCAGAATAGTCTAAAGAAGCCTGAGTAAGGCACTAGTTAAGATGCGAGCTTCAGTCTTTGTTCAGGATAGAATCCTGGATAGAACAGAGTTCGAGATCTATTTGGGTATGATTCATAGGACTACATAGCGACGGTATCGAATAACAAACTAATAAACTGTTCACAGATGAATGATCGGCAGGCTCGGTACCTGGCATGACGCGTACGGAACGACCCGGTAACTTGGATCTCACGCGAATCTCAAGCTAGTGTGATGACGTTGAAACTTCGTTGAGTCGGCTTTAGTTGCCGCACAAACTCAATGCTGTTCAAATGTATACTGTACATCCATGCAATGGCGTCAGCGCCAAGGTGTAGAGTCGATTACATCATGAAATCACCAACATCGTGTCAGTCTTGACAAGGAGTTTATGTTGATACGCATCAAAATTGATAATACTGAAGTGAGAAATACATGGTTGTAAGTTATTAGCACTGTTGGAAACAGGCAGGTATCAATGTGCTTGCCCACAGCCCATACAAAAAGAACTCCTATATGGAGGAGGACCCCATTCCAAAAACACCATACACCAACATGACCAAGTCATGAAGGCACGAGTACGGGAAGCAGACTAGACCCAAAAAACACAAACATATGTCCTTCCATACATGGTATACCGAGCGAAAAGCGAGAGCCCATATATAAGCGCCATGCGTCAGTCGTAATGATGTTCCTCCCAATTTTGTTCATGATCATGAATTCGTGACGGTATAACTTTACTTGGGCGTGTCTGCCGTCTCTCCGATGCCAAGAGCCCGGACCAGACTACGTCGAATACCTTTTCCATTTGTCGCATCGTCCTTATCACGGCCCAACAGTCCAAAGCTCATGCGTCGAACTGTACTGCCCGTGTTGTCTGATTGACTTGTAGCCTTCTTGACCTTTTTCTTCTTGGCAGCAGGAGCTGGTGGAGGCATGGTCGGTCGAGGGGGCCATTCGCCGTCCCGCTTCCAGCCAGTAACGCAAGCTCGAAGCATGTCTGAAAGATTGATGGGGCATGAGGGCTGAAGGCTATGGATAATGACCTTGTCGTAAAGGCTGAGGTACACAGAAGGTGTGATGGACGCACGAAGAGGGTTGTTGGGTGGTAGGAGGGGTGGCGCAAGAGGAAGAAGAACCTCGACAGGATAGTTCCGACTGTCGGGGGGTGTTGACGGCGTTGTATCCTTGGAGCGAGCGTTGCGAAGTTCGTCGCTTCTTGCTAGTGATGAATTGTCGGAAGCATCGCTGACTTGTGGTGGTAGAGCAGACGCAATCGTGGAGCTGGGAGGAGATGTCGACATGGAGCGGCGAAAAAAGAAACGACGGGGAGATAAAGGTGACACAGCAGGGGGTGTCACAGGCTTGGCTCGGATACGAACAGTTCGTGCACCGGTCCATGCATTTCGCCGGGCCTCGAAACAAGCAAGGCCCTCGTTCCATTCCATTTCCTGGCGGACTGCTCTCCGTCGCTTCGCGCGCTTGGCCTGAACTGCAGCTTGGACAGTTGGGCCCACGTTGTTGGGGTTGTCGAAGCGGAAAGGTGATCGCGAGGGACCGGGCTCATCATCATCGTCGGAAAGATCCGACGTCCACTCTAGACGTGTGCGAAAGCGAACGGGGTCCTCAGAAACAGTGCTGTAGATGGATTCGGCATCGCTATTGTCCTCATCGTCAGACGACTCTTGATCATCAACTTGGTAGCCATCATCTTCATGTGTCTCATCTTGAACCGCCTTTACTGGCTCAGTGACATCAAGACTTGTCACGGTCTCAAAAGCGTCAGGTGACTCGGGAGCCGTGTCAACGACGGCTACGTCACCCTCAGCCAACGGAGGGTCAACAACGCGAGACGGCCATGAGAAGTCCCAATCGTTCTTTATCTTGGCGTCGAGGTATCGTCTCACAGCTTCCTTCTGTTTCGCCTTGTCCTTGCTGAGGAGGTCGGCGTGTTCATCGTTGTACCAATCCGGGGTGTTGTCGGGCAGTGGGGTCGGCAATTGAACTGGATGATGGCGAAGCTTAGCGATAGGGGACCGCGGGCTCTTGTAGATGTCGGAGAATATCATGGCGGAGGAAGGTCGTGCCTGGGCTTCGGAGGCCCCAGAGGCAGACTTAGCAACGTTTGTTGGTGACTGCGCGGAAGAGCCCAATGGCAATGAAATGCACTCGGAAGTTGGACTTGTAGTGGTTGTAGCGGCAGCGGCAACCGTCGAGCGAGAATGCGGGGAAACGGATGCGACTTGGAGCAGAGGGTGGACTGTTGTTGGGGAGGATGATGTGATATCGCGAGATGGTGATTTCTGAGTATCTTGTTCTTGATTACTTGTCTTTGCAACTAGAAGATATTAATAGCGGTTCCTTTTTGATCGACAGTGCAGAGCTTGGAAAGACAAAGTTTAAGGATCATGGAAAGAAGGACAACGGCCAACAAAAAAGGTGTGTGTGGTACAGTACGAGGGGCGCCAGAAACAAAAGGAAAAGGGTAAGGGTATGGACCAAGGTATGGTGGTTTATATGGAGGCGGTGGTGGTATCGTTTGAGCGGAGGTGGCGTTGCGTTGCGTTTGGGAGATCAGGTTAAGGTAAAGCGCTATTGACAAGGGCTCCAGCTTGTTCGCTCCATCGCATGGGCCCTGCCTGTCCTGACCTGTGCGCTTTTCTGGGGGAACTTGAACTAGGTACTTAGACTAAAGCGAGAGGCGCTTCGGCATCTTGCTGTCTCGTCCATTACAGTACAGTACAGTCCTCTGCGACTCCTTGTCCGCCAATTGATTGGTACATCAACATTGGACACTTATACACTGTACAGTACAGGAGGCATGCAACGCGGGGAATGGGGAAATGAAGAGGAGCCTAGAGCGCAGCCAAGACTGGGAGAGGTTTGACAAGCAGTTGTAACAGGAGAATTGCAAGGGCTCAGCTCACCTGGGCATGATCGGCAGCGGATCCCCAGAAACTGACTAGAGCCGCAGTGGGTTCGTTCGTCCAAGATGAGATGCGAGACGAGACACAGAAAGGAATTGAAGACAAGATTGGTTTAAGACAGAACAGAACAGAGAAGTGAGGAGAGAAGAGAAGGGGAGATGAAGGGGAGACAATCAAGGCTTGCTGTCTTGTTACTTTCAAGTCGTACGTAGAGATAGATGTATCTGCATCAGTACGTACGTACGACATAATAGAACATCCTAGATTTTCTTGGTAGGGACTAGGTTGTTTGATGCATCCAAGCTTGGATACTTGAGAGATCCAAGTCCCTGGATTTTCCAGAGTTTGGGTAATTCAATCTGGCGGTGATCGATTCTGTACAGCCATGACCCTGCGTAGCAGACAGGATCAAGATGGTTTGGGTAGGAATTGGGCTTGTGTATGAACATTGGCCGGTGAACAATAAACGAATCAAAACGATAGACGATACAGTACTGAAGATACAAGGAGATCAAGAAACTCACCACCATCGACAGGCGTCTGAGGACGGTCGGAGCCGACGACGGGTAAAGGATCGCCAACGCCAACACCAGGCGATTTCGGCGGAGGAGGAGGCGACATTAGAGGCAGGGGTCCAAGTCCAGAACTGCAATGATTGACGAAGGGTGTTTTTTTTCTTTTTTTTCTTTTTGAGGGGGCTTCAAGGTAAAGTTTTTTGGTACTGATTCTGGACCTTTCTTGGACGAGTCTAGGTCTAGTACTGCATGTAGTGTATTCGTATATTCGTGTAGGTAGGGAGCCAAAGAAATACCGCAATCGGAAGACACAGAGATGTACTGCGCTGTATAAGGAAAGGGGGGTAGGGAATATGTTCTGATATTTCCGAGGATTCTCTGCTGTTTGAGTCAGCGCGGAATGTGGGAAGAATGAGGTGTAGGAGGTGGTTGGTGTTGTTGTGCGACAAATTTTGCCTGCCTTAAGGTTACAGCCTGCCCAGTGGTGTACCTGATGGGCCCATAATTAATCACCCTAGACTTCTCCAATGCTCGCCTACAACTGCAGTCCTCCACTGAAGGAGGGCATGCATCCACTGGACTGTCAAGAAATGGATGTGGAGGTCGGTTAGGTTGTGTTGTGCAACAGAACTGAAAAGAGACAGCTCGGACTCTGGTCCTTGAATTGGGTCGCAAGTACCCTCTTTAGGTCACTGCGCTGACCCTGGGATCCTGGCCCAGACGCAAAGACGGTTACTTGCATCAGTGAGTAAGCAGAGACAGCATCCATTACATAGCAAATCCTGGCAATTTTCGTATTGTTGTTCGGAGTCTCGATTCAAATCAGAGCATGTGAATACTGTACTGGGTGGAAGAAACAGTATGTTCTCAAACTTGGGGTGCTAAAAATGAATCATGGTGTTACTGGTCTGATATGACATGAATTGTCCCAGTTATTCTGACTCCTGGGGTTCTCAACTACCAGTTTTTCTGATCCCGTTATAGTATCACACTGTGGCTGTCGTGTGACTGCCATCCGCTCAATGGAAGGCTTCAGGCACAAGCGGGGGAGCGCCACCAGCCATTCTCACATCCACTGGATACCACTATGACAATCAGAAGCGGTCAATTGAATTGTCTGATTGGGTAGTCAATAGTCAGCCGCCCAGTTTGATGGTGAGAGCCCTTGCGTTGCCGATGCACGTGGACGGATTGTGACTGTCACCTGCACAATGAAAATGGAAGACAATGTGAACATGAAGCGATCAATATCCATTATATCCAGTAATTATTGTCATTGGCAGGTAATTTGTGCATGATAATTATCTCCACTTAGTGCATGCATATATTATACTGTCAGGACTGTGCAGCGGGCACGGGTAGACAACCGTGCCTTGCTGTACCCCAGCTATTGACATTGCTATCGCAAGGGACCCTGACTAAGTGACGTAGGTGGCCTGGACAAAAACCATCGGCTATTGCGGCTCCATAGGTCCTGACTAACGTACTGCAGTAGGTAAATACCTACCTCTAGGTAAATGCCAGGTGTTCACCAACTGATAATATAATGCCCATCTCAAGAGTACTCTGGCTTAGATACAGGAACCTGCAAGACTCGCAAACACAGAGAGAGTATCGATGAGTCTATCAGCTTTACCTCATTACTTTAGATAGCGGCATTTATCCAATAGTGCTTGGAAGAACATAAACATTACGGCCTGGATATCTCAAGCAGAGAACATGCAATCAAACTTGATCGCATCGAAAGACATCAATAGATTATAACACTCCTTGCTAATCGACATCCAGCCCAGCTCAAGAATATAGAGGGGAGTACAGAGGTTTTCAAACCATCTTGTTCAGAGCACTGCACTAGTAGACTCGTGTGTGTGCAAAACATGGATGCTCAGGCTATAGCCCAAGATATTGACACTGACGTCTTCCTCACGACTTTGGACAGCTTCAGGTTGCAGCTTCAAATCTTACTTAGGTAGGGTGAAGGTTTCTCGGAAATGAAATAACCAGACATAGTCCACACAAACTACCATGTTATTGTGCGTGGCCCATCTTGAAATAAGAGACATCACGTTGCAAAGGGTAAGTTATAAGTGTATGATCTCTTCTTTATTGAATCTTCTACTCCTCCTTCCCTAAACCAACATTCAAGAACTAGGAGCAAATTATTTGATTCTGTCAGGCCTTCTCCAGTGGTCCTCCGCGTCAACTTCCACTCAGTCATTATCTTCTTTCTCAACTTCGACTTCTTCCTCCGTTAACATCACTTTTCTTAACCCGTTAGCGGTGATTCACTGCTCAACTGCAGGATTGTGGCGCACCTCGCACTGCGGAAGGACGAGTTTGGATGGTGGGGCGCGGGTGCGAGGCTTCTTGTTTGGCGCCGTAACAGTGCCCTCGTTCATCTTGCGCTTGTTTGTGCTTTTGGTAGCGACAGCAGCAGTATCGTCAAGTTTCTTCTCCTCAGTATCCTTCTCGATGTTTGCGCTGCCACTAACAGGTGACTGCTAATCATCCGGTGGAACATACTCATCAAGGACCGTGTTGAAGGGGTCTCGGGGCTTGAACTCGGGGTTTGATGGTGGGTTGTAGGGGCCAGTAAGAGGTGGAGGAGACAAGCGGATAGGGGAGTAGGGCATGTCGTCGAGCCCCATTGGCGGTGCATTGGGTATTTCGACCGTCATTACTGAAATGTCGTTGTGTCCAGGTGTATTTATGTATTCAGCATCAGGATCGGAAACACTGGCGAACTCAGCCTGAAGACAAGCGATCGAGGAAGATAAGTCGAGGTCCAGAGATGATGAGATACTCGTGGCACCAGCGGAGGGGTCTTTGAAGATAGGAGTTGGCATTGTCTGAAGAAACCAAGACAGGTCCTCCTTGTCAGAGGTTTCGCAGATGCTGTTATGAACGTTCTCAAAGTATGATTCAGGCTCGGTAGAAGCAGGTTTGGTGGTGGGAGACTCATGGGCAGGGGGAACTCCCCACTCAATAGGTTGGTCCATGAAACTCTCATTGTACTGTTGTACGGGCGCAAGCAACGAGAACAGGTCCTCCAGGGATGCCTCAGATACCTCAGAACCAGCATTGAGTGGCTGCTCCCCGTTAGTTTGGAGGGAATCAGAGGCAGAAGCAGTCTCAGTAGGCCGGGTCATGAGTGGGACAGTAGGCTGAAGAGCAGGGCTTTGTTGACAAAGGGAGACACCAGCCTGGTTATTATACTCATCACTCGATGGAGCATCTTGAGTGAAGCTTTGCTGAATATTGAACTCGTCGACAGGAACTGGTTGAGCAACACTTCCAGCTCCAGATGTTGTCTGGTGAGAACCCACGAAGTCAAAAGAAGCAGTGTGAACAACGGTGGCCTCGGCAGTGGAGATGGGCTGACCCTCGATGTCGGTGATGTTGTCGAGGCTGAGCTGGCTAGCGATTGCGTTGTCGTTCTTGTCGTGACAAGCAGCGATGGGAGAAGTGGAGAGGGCAGCAGGAGGAGACAGAGAAGCACTGAGGGTAGAAACAGTGGTTATGGCCTTGTTTCGCTTATTGACAGTGATCTTCTCTGCTGATTCCGACGTGAGCTTCCGAACTCCTTTGTTCTGGCGACCTTTCTTAGCCCTAGGCGTAGGTGTAGGCGTAAGTAAAGGCTTAGACTTAGACTTAGCAGCCTTGGTCTTGCTGTTTCCATCGTTACCGGCTGCATTGGTCGCTTGCTTCTGCTGCTTTTCTCGTCTGAAGCTTGCCACCAGCTCGTTAATCGTGTCCATTGATATCTCGGTAGGTGGCGCCACAAAGTAGACTAATATGATCAGAATTAGTGGAAGATAAAGGGCGGACGAAAATACTTACCATTATACATATCAGCTTCTGGGGTGATAGGCTCCCCATTGGAATCTCGCTGAAGCCGAGGATCATCCCTTTCATAGCGAACAAGGCGACGTTGTGAAGGCGGAATGGGGGCATTTCGAGCCTCTGCGTCACGAATCGTTTTCTCTTTGTCAGACAATGGGTACTTGTCAGCCTTCTCCTTGGTATTGGCAGAATGCTGTGCAGGCGAAGTTGGCAGAGGCTGGACAGAAGGAGGAGTAGGGGGTGTAAGAGCGTGGTGCCGGGACGTCAGTTGGGAGGAGATCAGTTCGATGGAAGGAGTTCGAGACTGAACGATTTTGGTTGGCGAAGTAGGCTGCTGGACTTCAAGGCTGGGAGAACTGATGGGAAGCTGCTGGGGCTGGCCAAGGTAATCGGCGATGGAAATGTCAGGCTTGGGTTTGGCTGTCATTTCCATATGCTTGACTCCCTGTGGAATTGTCTTGCCATAGGCCACACGGCACATGGCACTCTGGACCCTGGACATGGGAGAACCGGTCTTGAGCTCGTTAGACTTTGTCAGGACAGTGTTGTCGCTGGGTTTGCAGCGACGCTTGGGAACGTTTTGCGCAGATTGAGTGGCACGGCCACGCTTGGGAGACTGCTTTCGAATGGGCTTTCTCATAGAGCACTGTCCCTGAGGGCTCTGTTGCATGGTGAGGTGGGATGTTGGAGATACTTGAGTCGCCTGGAGCGTCTGATGCATCCCATCCTTTCTAGTGACTGGAGTATGCTGAGGCCCTTGAGCATGTTGCAGAGTAGCGAGGGGGCCACAGACAAGCCCCTGACCTTGGAACTGCTTGGCGGCAGGATAAGCCATTTGCTGCGGCTCAGCAAGATTGCCCTGGGAAGGGGTGAAAGGGGTGGCAGTTGGACGAAGAGTAGAAGACACATGCGGGTGATAGCCTTGAACTTGCTGAGCGTTATTCTGGAAAGGGTGCTGGACACCAATCATGCAAGATGATTGTATGTTCTGCATACTATTCGCTCCATACATGCCAGAAGCACCAAGAAAAGCTTGGCTGTTGGCAATAGACTGAGGTTGATTCTGGCCATATCCCATCATTGAGCCAGGAGGGTAACCCATCATAGGGTTATTCGCATACTGGTATTGAACGTAGTCCATGGAAGGAGACTGCATGCTCATAGAGCCGGTTTGCATACCACCCATCATGGGCATACCGTTGACTCCCATATGGTTGCGGGGATAGGCAAAAGGGATCTGCATGCCCTGAGCTTGGTTGCTGGTCATGAAAGTCTGGATATTATCCACAGAGGCCTGGTTGAGAAGAAGATTCTTAGGGCTAGCGTTGGCAACCTCTGATGGAGTTGATGGTGAGGGCGTTTTGTATGCCTGCTGAGTCGGGCTGAATTGTCGAGAGCTTACAACCACGGGAGGAGAAACAGCAGCATTAGCGTTGTGAGAAGCAGAGAGAGATTCGCCCATCTTCTGCTGCTGGCTGTTGATCTGGGACATTTCTCCAGTCACAGAAGTGTTCTGTTGGAAGAAAGGAGGTATCAGTGAGATGTGGTCATTTGCTAGTGAGGAGAAGAACTTACCAATCCAGACGAAAACTCGTGCTGGTTAGTGTAATGGGGGAAATATCCGATCTGGTCCATAAGGGCAGAAGGAGCCTGGAACAGAACATCAGCACGTTTTGGTCCCGTCTGTCCAGGTTGGATGAATGACTGACCTGATAGGGAGCTGAGGTGCTCTGCTGGGGAAAAGACAGAGGCAGAGCCTGGGCCGCTCCGGCCAAGTTGGGTTGATAATCCAACATACTTTTGACGGTACTTGCTACTGGGCTTGAATAGATGTCTTGAGCTATGTTGAAGCGAGTAGCGAAGAGAAGATATGTAGCTGGAAGCTGGAAGCGAGTAGAGATGAATAAATTTGGTGCAGCAAAGAGGGCTGATTTTCGTACGAGAGTCGCTCGAGACTATAAAGAACTGAAAGCTGTTATATCCTCAGAAGGAGAAGCAGAATTCATGTAAACTATAGACTCGGTCGATAACCAGATGAAAGGATATGTGTGATTGCTGTTCGTATTGGTATTGACCGGTATCAAACGGTTGAGTATAATGCGAAGCAAAGTCTGATGATGGTGAGGGGAGAAGAGAAAAAAGAAAAAGCAGAAAGGCCAAAGACAGAAAAGAATCTCGCTAGTATGCATGCACTTTACCTACTGAGCAGAATCATTTTCCCATGCCACTTCTATGCCAACTCTCTGGCACTGTAAACGACTGCAGAGAGCTGGCAGAGAAAAAAATGTTTGACTGCGGACCTGCCGGCTGTCAAACAGCTGCAAGGCAGATTCCGCCCAGCCACCTACCTTTGGAGATAAGTACTTGTGATGTCCTCGTTTTTAATGAGGTTCGCGACATCTTGAAGAGCTGTTGGAGGAGGTATCTTGAGGTTGAAGGTCTTGATGATACTCAAGGTTGGACTAAAGGGGTTTTATACTACTAGATATAACTACGTGTCCAATCGCAATGACCATGTCATCACATTTAGGGTCCTGATTGTATTTAATTCATGTCTTGCTTGTCTGAGAAGAATACAGTATCCAAGTATTGTCCCCCTATGGTGTTGAGTGACTGTCACTGCGGGCGGGCATTGTTTGGTGTGGGGCCAATGGGGGTTTTCAGCTCAGTGCATGCAGTCGAATACATTCAATTCCGGGCAGTTAACCATAGAACGCTTCCATGGGCTTTTCAGGAATCAACAATCATCATGGAGGTCTCGGAGTTTAACCCCAGATACTCTGGAGTTCTGGCATTGATTTGATATGTATATTGGGGACTTGCGCCTCGGAAAAACTCAAAAATAGATACTCTGGAGATAGCGGCTTTCAACTATGTAACTCAAAACTCTCTCACCATAAGAAGAGCACGATGATATGTCGCTGGACTGAACCTGGACTGACTCTAGTGTATTCATTCCCAACACTGTTCTGTAGATATCTGTGGTAGCAGTGGCAGCGCAGTCGTCAAAGGGGTGGCTGGTTGATGCGATACCGGCAGCGTTGATGTTAAAGAGCTTGCATATGATTACGTACTACAACGGTATCCAACCTCCAACCTCCCAGGCAACAAGGCATCAAAGGTCGGCCGTGCAACGAGGTGGGTAGCGCTCAAGGTAAAAGATGCTACCAGTCCATTGACTGATACCATTCTACAGCCACCAGGAAAATCAGCAGACATATACTGCACAGGTAGTGATAGAAGGTGCCGTGATATCGCTATCCTGTTTGTTTCAAGAGATACTAATCTTTAGATTAAATAAAAATCTTGAATGTTCTACGACCTGTATATGACCTTTGGTTTTTAACGTCATCGCTATGAGTGTAGAGAATGGTGGTGTCACAAAAGGGGGTTCCAGACCTGGTTCGATATAATGGAAGTCGAGGGATTGGGTGCAGAGAGCCGCACGTTTGTACATAGCTACCGAAAGTGTTGCAACCCCTTTATGGCGTGTGATAAATTCTTGCCGTGAATTACTGGGGTTTCTGCAAATAATCGCACAAGTTGCATTATCTACCTAGTGACACATCTGGTGATAAAGATGCCCGCAATGCGTACTTAATAAGTTGCATTATCTATTACAAGAACAATGAAGAACACAAGGGAAACGAGAATACAGCAAGGTTCGTTTGATTTCTTTTCCTTTTCCAAGACATCAAACAATCATAGACCTGGTCAACAGGGCAAGCCTACCTACCAGCTTGGGATGAGCACCATACCCAACCTCATTGGAAGCTCACATCGCGGACAGGTGTCTAGTCCTAAATACTCAGGCTACCTCTTGGACCATCTTAGCGGATGGCGGTTTTGGAGGCCCAAAGACTTGACCAGCAGGGCTGTCAAGCATCTCCTCGGTTACTGCCACTCGCACTCCGCTCTTGTTGCTGACCCATCGAACAAAAACAGGATCTGGCCTATTTGCGTCTTCACCTGACGGACCTGCACCTGCAGCGGCTTTGCGGTTAATTTTGGGGGCTTGCTTTTTGAGAAGCTTGTTGATGGTTTCCATCTGCAGAGAAGCGTTAGCGACCACACACGCACATATCTCTTATATTGCGATTCGATGATGTACCTTGACTTCCTCATTCCGCTTTTCGCTCAAGTTACGGCGACGGCGGGCCATTTCTTGACGGCGCATAGACAGTTCCTCGGCTGTAAAAACTTTCTTGGCTTGTACCTCTGCAAGCTTGTTAGTATACCCAACGTACAAACCAGTGTTACACGCACCATCTGATAACTTCATGTATTGGTGCTCCTTTTCGTCTTCGAAGCGGGCACGCTGACGTTTCGTCATCTTTGTGAGGTCGATAGACTCATCTGGATTGCCATCTTCGTCGTCTTCGTCGTCATCTTCAGCTCCATCGCCTTCTTCCTCCTCTTCCTCATCTTCGTCCTCGTCGCCTTCTTGGCCAGCAACCTCTATCTCCTCGCCTTCAGCATCCTCGTCATCATCATCGGCCATAGTCTCGTCGCCGAAGCCCATAGTCTCGTCACCCATATCACTATCGGCGGGGTCACTAAGCTCGTCGTCATCATCGTCATCATCCTGAATGATCTTTGCGGCTGACGCTCTAGGTGCTGGCTTCGAACGGGCTGGCTTGGAGACGGTAATGGTTGGGGGGGCTAGATCCATTTCAATATCACCCTCGGCGTCCTCTTCGCCTTCAGCATCAACATCCATGTCATCGTCGTCTTCCTCCTCCACCTCGATCTCTGCTTCCTCCTCCTCTTCTTCGTCCTCGTCGGGACTTGAATCGACAACATAGCTCTTCTTGGCTCCTCGGTTCCGCTTTCCTGACACAATTTGACCGCCTTCAAAGCCACGGTCCCCTCGGGTGGCCTGTCGCAGCTTGCTGGATGGAACCTTGACAGTCAAACTTAAATGACGATCGCCTCCTGGTGAGGAGGGGTCATCTCTTGAGACAGATACGCCCGAGGCGCGACCAGATCGTCGTGATGACATACTTCTTTCGCTTCTTTCTGGAGAGTCAGCCAATCTGGCATGGACAGAAATGGTTTCATTCGCCTTGGTGGCTGCTGAACGACGTGGGCGAGAACTCATGATGACAGAATCGCGCTTGCGAAACCTGGGGTTCAAGTCGAGATTAAGAAAAGCTTATAAGATTGAAGAGCAAGTGATATAAAGAATAGAGATTAAGTTGGATGTATGTCGGGTGGGAGTCTCCAGGATCCCAGACTTCCGAACCGGATGCGCAAATGAACAAAGCGAAGCGACGGTGAGTTGTATCACGCAGAAGGGGAGTAAGTTTGGGGTGTCGGTATTGACAAGGCTGTAATAAGCTTAGGTCGTTGAGGTAAGATGATGGCGGCAAGAGGCAATGAATGGAGGATGGTCGCAATAAGAAGAGGGTGACGGGTACGCGGAGTTGAAAGGTGAAAGGTGAAAGGTGGAAGTGGAAAGTAGGTAGGCAAAGAAACCAGGGAAGCTGCAGCTTTGAAATGTTGGTGGCAATTGCCGTGTTTAAAGTTGGACGAAGGTCAGGTTGCCCTCCAGCTGTGTTCGTGGCAGGCAGGCAAGCAAGCAATTTTACGACCATCTATTGGTGACCGGGCAGCCTGGAGTTGTGTAGTATGCAAGGCTGAAGATAGATATGTAGGTAGGTAAATTACCAATTAATCTGGCCTGTAAATAACCTGCCAAGCCAAAGCCAAAGCCAAAGCCAATCCTAGATTGAGTGCCTACATATACCTAAGGTAGGTAAGGTAAGGAGACCTCTCGCTTGTGAATCAGGGATTCATACGAGCGAACGGATTGAAAGCACGTGGCTACTGATCATCGGTCCAGAAACAAGCATGGCCGCCAAACTAACTAACATAACGGAATGGTGAAGAGTTGTCCTCTATCGGCTGCAAGGATTCCCAGGGACTGGACTGCAACGGACGGAGTTGGTGCTGTGCTGATGATGCTGTGCTGTGCTGATTGATTTGATTGATTGACTGATACAACCAAACAAGGAAAGACAAAACTAAAAGGAAATCTTATAACTCACATCTTACAAAAGTCTATTGTCTCTGTCACACCAGTCTTTCTGCTCTCTTCTTCTGGCTCCAATTGTTCTCAATTGGTTTCAAAAACAGATGACCCTTTAATTCACTTCTGGCCGTTTTCCACTTGACCTGCTTTTGGATAGCTCTGAGCCAAGAACTGAGCAAAGGCGCAAAAGATCTCCAGTCTGTTGTCTAGCCGACAGCGGACTTTTCTGCGCTGTGCTCTGCTGGTAAGGGTAAGACTCGTGAGACGAAGGCCGTTACACGCTGCTGATTTGCCCACTGACTGCCCTGATGATTGGATTGTCTGGCGCGTTGAGATTGACCGATAGGATAGGAGGTGCCGGCGCTGATTGTCGCGGGGGCTTGATCGCGTTCTTCCGTTGTTCTCAATGAAGCGCTCAGTATGATGCGTGTGACTTCCTTTCCCAAGAAAGGCCTTAGAAGTGCAACTGGGGTGGTTGAGAGTTATAGGTGGCCGTGATCTGAGATATTGTCTGGAATTGATATTCTCTGGCGAATGCGCGTTTGAGCCAGGCTACCGTTAAGTAGGACTAAACGGTTTCATGACTTCCGATATTGTCCACAGTAATAAACGGAGGTGATGGTAACCACCGTTACAGTCGACCCATTTATATCCATACTGGACCCGACTGTATTGGCTCCCCACAAGACCCCAGACCAGAAGCCCAAAAGTTATTAACTCCACCGTTATCGGCTGGAGTACCGAGGCATGTGCCTGCACCTCGGAGACGGCATCGATAAACCGCTTCCATTTCATCTGAACATCCTCCCGACCTTCAACAACACATCTGGCTACCATTCATCCTACTCATCCTTGTCGCAATACTCAGAATGAGCGACTCCGATTCCAATCCCGCCATCCCAAGCTGGCAGAAGGCGCAGTCAGACGAATCCGATAGTCAAAATACCGACCCGGCGCCGACTCCGTCCACAAGCACCTCAACATCAGAAGTCGATGCACCGGCAGTCGAAACAACAGAAGAAGAGACAACACAGTCGGATGATGCTTCGGACAATGGAGACAAACTTGAAGTTGCACGACGCTTCCTCGAGAATGATGCTGTGCGCGACGCGCCTCATGAGAAGAAAGTTGAATTCCTCAAGTCCAAAGGAATCGACGAGACGGAGATAAACGCGCTTCTAGGCCAGGAAGGCTCTTCAGAAGAAAAAGAGGTTCGCACTCCTATCTGCAATCGTGCAAAGCCCAGCACTAAAAGTTGCAGTCCTTCTTCGGCTCAGAAACAGCCAGCTCTTATGCACCAACGCCTACCGAGACTCTCACCTCATCGACATCCTCCCAACAACCATCGGTCGATCGCCCTCCAATCGTGACATACCCCGAATTTCTCGCAAACTCCCCTCGCCCTCCTCCTCTCGTTACCAAAGAGCGTCTCTTCAACGCTCTCTACGCCGTAACTGGTATTTCTACTCTTGTCTATGGTACAAGTCGCTACGTCATCCAGCCTATGGTTGACAGCCAGGCCGAAGCTCGTACGGAATTTCATGACCTGACCTCTAAGAAGCTCGATGCATTGGTTGCAAAACTCGAGAAGACTGTCTCTGAAGTCCCACCAAAGAACCCCGTAACCACAGTCGAGGAGGAAAGTGATGCTGAAGACCCTACAGAAATGTTCCATCGAGACATGGGCACGCAGACCACATTCCCTATAAGCTCCGTGACAGCTCTTAAAGGCTCTACAAGTAATGAATCGCCTGCCAATCACAACGCCAACCAACTCGCCAGTTTGAACAAGACGCTTTCTAGCCTGAAAGATGAATACCGTTCTCAGAGTGAGGGGATGGATAAGATTAAGAGTGCTGTTGATGTGTTGCGCGATGATCTTGACACCTTGACGTATATGGCCTACCCTGAGCAAAATAATGGCTATGATTTGTACGGCCGCTCACGCAAGCCTGAGCCTGACGATGAGATTCGCAAGGTGAGGGACAGCATCCGACGTGTCAAGGGTGTCTTACTCAGCACAAGAAACTTCCCTGCTTCAGCACGATGAGTTACTGCATCAGGACACAGCTATTGGGGGCAGAAACGTTGTCACTATCTGTAATACATACCGCTTCACACAAAGCGTCTTAATGGAGACGTGGTCTCAAATTTTTGTACATAGTCCAGCCAATATACCCAGACGAATCACCCTGTTGACCAGACACGTCTTTCTTGTGACTTTACTTACTGTATGTCGGACCACCTCAACCCTTTTAAGAACCCATATTGCACTTCGCAAAGAAGTCCTTCCAAGGCACGATATCAATGTGCTCAAAACCACGACCTGCTTCGGCCTGGCGTTTGTACCATTCCATTGTTGGCTTGAATCTGTACCTCATAAGGCCCCCGGAGCCTTTGCGCCTCTCTTCCATGCAATGCTGAAAGAAATGGTTCTTGCACTCGATCTTTCCGTTTAGCGGCTTCGCTCGAGGAGGATGAAACACTGTTCTTAACGCATCCATACCAGCATCGATATCGATATCCATTGGCTCGGGAGATGAACATCGCGATCGGTGGTCAGACGCATCCTCTGGCAAAACCAACTCCCATCCCTTAAATGCCAATTGTTTTACGTTTGCGGGTATGTTGGCTTTCACGTCGAGCATTAGTTCTTCCAAACGGTGGAGTGTTCTATCCACAGGGTCAACTGGAGATGAACGATCGCCATCCCATTCCCCATACCAGACACGCTGCAGCGGCAACGTTTTGCCAAACTCTTCCCGGATTGCTTGTATCATCATTCGCTGTGCTTCAATAAGATCTCCTTCGTAAACTGGTTCTCCTCTGTTGAAACCTGTCCCGACAGGGTCCCAGATGATAAGCTCCAAAGACCTGTATGGTTTACGTTGAGGGTCCGCAGGCCTGATTATCATAATCCATGGCCGTCGCTTTCTTTCCTTATCTCCTCGCGCTTCATCAAGACTCCAACCTCCTTCAATTGTGTAGCATAATGCAACAGCGGTATTGTAGTGACGGGGGAATTGTACCTTCTTAAACGGTCTAAAACAATCCCTGTACGTCTCAAAGCCGTTATGGGGATAGACATCGAGTTCAGATGCCATAGCCTGACTCCAGTAAGCAACGGGGTAGGGGCAGAGTATCTGGGGTCTAAAGCCTTGTTCCCAGATCTTTCTGTCAAGATCACACAGATACCGCTGAAAGGAAGAACTGGTGTCATCGGGTATTAGCCTGAACCTCTGTTGTAACTCTGGTAACTTATTTTGGAGCGCATGGGGTTGTTCAAGCTCCCGAACGTCCGCAATGGTTGATGCAGCAAATTCAGGCCTCGCGGTAAGGTGTATGAGTTCACCATCGGTCGCACTTGATCCAACCACGGCGAATTTCCGGTATTGGTCAAGATTCATGATAGACCACCAACCAAACCAATTAACTAAGCTCTGCTCGTCGTTGTTATCGATCAATTCTGGGCCCAAGATGACCCCAGGCTGCTCCTCGCATGATTGATCTTGGATGGTTTGGACCAAGTCTCGGGTCTTTTGCAATGCTTCAAGTTCCGTCGTTATTTCGTCTGTGCAGTCATGTCGATCCGCTAAGCCCGAATAATTAGTTTCTATCGCAGTGGCTACTTCAAGAAGCCAGCTATCGAAGCCGGCCCCAACAACAAGCGTTGGGCAGTCAGATTCGTTATACTTTTCCCAAAACCATTTGACCAATCTCCAAAGCTGGCGTGGCTTTGAAATGACAAAGCTGGGGGTGATCAGGATTGCAGTCCTGTTCTGTCCACAAAGGGGCTGCAAACTCACATCTCCAACCCTACGCCGTTGTTCGAGTGAGGGGTAGAGAGGCGAAGGCTGTAGGGATTTCGAGAAGAGCATAAACTTGAACTTTTCTGGTAACTGTAGCAAGTTCTTGACGCCGGGAAACAGGCGTATAGACCATATTGCTTCCTCGTGAATGATGACCACCCCACTGTCTAGCTCCAATAGGCTCTGCCAGTGTCCAGGAGAAAAGCTAGACAGGATTCTACAGTCAGAGTTGCAGGCTCGAAGCCATAGACTCAGTAGCTGTGCTTCGTCTGAAGTGTTTCCTGGAAACGCGAGAAAGAAATTATGTTGACTGGGGAGTTTTGCAGGATTCTCTAGTTGTTCGTATCGAAACCCCACTAAGCGATCAAAGAGTGTCAATGACATTTGAGGTAACACGTCCCCTACATCTAGACCTTCCTGGAGGTTGATCGGGGAGAGGCAGCGGGTCGTAAAGCCAGGAGCCGGCCGAAAAAGGTAGTAATACAACGAGGGAGACTCAACAGTTGTTGCCGTTTGCTCTTGCGACTGCGTACACACAAATATGCATAAATCATTGCGATATAAGAGAGCACCAAGAGATCTAGCTCGAAGCCAGTTCGCAACTACCATCAAACTAGTAGTGGCATCATTGCTCACCATAATGCCGTTACCCAGCTTGTCGGCAGCCAGATCAGGTTCATAAAATGAAAAGTCTTGAGTTATGCAAGTGTGTGTGAATATCAACGAAGGCATGTTCTCGAAAATCGCAGGCCAGGGCAGTTCGTTTTGGGGCTCGAATCTCTCGAATCTGACAGATATCGTCTCCTGGGTGCCTGGGCCAAATTGGACGTCTGTGATGATTGTTCTATTGGAAGGGTTTGCATCGCGGCTGTCGGTGGATACATAATCGTTCCCACAAATCTGACTATTTGGTACGTCTGCTCGGCTGTTGATAGTCCTTGGTTGGAAGGCCGGGTTCGCGGGAGAATCCTTGGGGGGTAACGCATCAAGTGCCCATTCTTCCTTCACGACCCATGGAGCCTCGGTAGGGAGTGTCTCCTCACGCATAAACAGACTGCTGCCTTCCCTAGCAAGCTCTTCTGGCTCTCGGAAAGTTGTCTTTTCAACCGTACCCCAGCTAATCGATTTCCCGTGGTTGTTCTTCTGTGATGTCTGGCCGGCACCGGATGAATCGTCATGATGGTGGGTGGGTATAGCGCGATCGTCAGACGGACTTTCGGTCCTATCAGCTTCAATACTCGGGATGCTTGGAGTCTCAACATTGCGCTCTGCCGGATTTAAAGATATGAGAGTTGAAGGCATCTTTGATGGTGCAACACCGTCTCGATCACGGCCTGCCTTTTCGACAATTCTTGCATACCGAGGTTTTAAAAACCTGGGCTTCTTCGTAGGATCCTTTGCAACTTCAGCAAGAGTCTGCCGCTGTTTCCTTCGTATTCCTCCTGCAAAGACATTGCCAGTAAAGACTTGTGCAGTTTGAGTTTTGCGAGCCGTCAGTGGAACTTTGCCCAATCTAGCATCGGTACGTCTCGTCAACCCTGGACGGCCAAACTTGGATTGGAGACTGTTCGCAGGCGCTGGTCTTGGGTTTGAGATTTTGTTTGCCGCAGAGCCGATGCTTGAGCGTCTTGGTGGCAGTTGCGTGTGATTGGCCGAAGACGTGAGTGATGCCTTGGTGGTGAGCGATGCACTGCCGCGACGGCTGCTGTTAGATGAACGATCGTCGCTCAAGTTGGCATCCGTTCTTTTCCGTTCTTCGGGTGAGGAGGGCTGATACTGTCCGACTTCAGAATCCGAATCATAGTCTGCGGAGGATGGGCTCGATTCTGTAGAGGCACTGAGGCCCTCTCCATCTGGAAATCTATTGACCCATTCCAACAAGAGTTCCATGTGTTCGAAAGAGTGTTGTTTAAGTCCTCGGCGCTTCCGACGTCGGTTTCTCTCCCTATGACGAACGAGCTTTTTCTCATATGCATCTTTCCAGGCTTTCTTCCAATCTCCAATCGTTTGGTAGAGATCGAACCCTGGTTTTGCCTTTGTTTCCTTCCACTCTTCAATAAGGTTTTTGTTCAAGTTCTGCCGAGGTTCCCAGGTAGCTTCAGACAGATCAAAGCCTTCCCATTCGATCAGGTACCGCCAGCTGCCTTCGACTTTCCACGCAGCCAGGACCGAAGAAACTATCCATTCCTCCTCTGAGTCGTGATCGGCTTGAATAGTAGATGCCACTGACTCGTCATCAGAATCATCCATGACAACATCGACGTCGTCAGCCTTCTCTGATGGCAGTTCTTCCATGACTGGCAGTTGTTATCAGCGCCAAAGGCGCATGACATGCACGACAAAAATCAGGTGTGCATCCAACTAGTAATGTTAGTAAGGGTGTGTGTTGGGGCAATCCGAATTGACTCACTGAATCTGGGATATGTGTTACAGGTGGTACCTTTGGAAGCCAGTGAATTACGGTGGTGGATCATGAACCTTTGAGGCTTGCTCCAACGCTCAAATGACTGCAGTTTCCAGCCAGCGAGTGTAGGTACTCAATCTTGGTAAGCTCAAGATTACCTCCCTTAGGTGTAGGTATTGATCTCTTGAGGGCTAGATAATTACAAAACTGGAAGAGGCTCGAGAAAATAAAGCATTCGATTAAATGGGCACCTAGGTAGCTTTACAAACCCGATCTTAGGTACAGAATGCACTTATTTTTATTTCAATCAACAATCTGAACTATTTGCATTCATCTTTGGCGCGGTTTTGGCGGAAAGTGCTGCCTGACATCCGCGTGAGCACGTGACTGCCTGTGCTGAGTCGCTACCCTATAACTGCCATATACCGCTTGATACCTTTTTATCCTTTTTGATAGATGCTTGGGCAACTGTTCCATTACAAACTACGAAGGTATATATAGTAATACTGTGTTGCTGTGAAAGTCATACACATGACGAATGTTTATCTATATGAAAGTACTACGGTACAGTGTATATTTACACACCCTGTATCAGTGAAAATAAACCTCAAATTACAAAATATGATGAGTTTGGCTTTCCCAATCCGCTGAGTTCTGTCAAGTTCTGATATGATCAACTACGGAGTGGCAAACATCAATACCATGACTGACAAAGGAGTAAGTTAGTCATCGGGCAATACGAATGAATCGATTACTGCTACACAACAGCGTCTTGGTCATGTGTCTTTGCCAAACTTGATTTCCCCAGGCTCCATGATATACGTGCAGCACGAGCAAAGTGAAAAAAGATCGTTCACCACAGTCTCCATGACATTTTCAATGAAGCATCTACCTTGCCAATATCATGGTATCCTTGACTGATTGGGATACTGTAGTTGGCTAACTAAGCGATTGTGACTGTAGCGGAGTGTTGAATTGGTCGAAAGTAGGAGATGGAGCAGGTGTGTGTGTGGGTTTGACCATGTGCATTAATAAAGTGCAGAACACATTACAATGCGACCAAAACAAATTGATCCAGGGTATCTGCAAGCGGTCAGTGATCAGCTTTCAGATCCAGATAAATGCCCTGAATTACCATTAATGTATGGATGCGGCCTATAAACGCATCATAGTCTCACCAAGCTAGTTGAGACCTCTCACTTTAGAGGTGTCCGGATTCGGTCGCTGACCATTCAATATCATACTGTACATACACACGACTTGGAACTTTCTCTTTGTTGTTGCCCGTTTCCCAAAGCCACTCTAACTCTAACTCTCCAGAGCTCTAGCTCTAGGTAGCTTTAGCTCTGAATCAGCGTTCAATCTGTCTACCTGTCAGGCAGGGGCAACCAATTTTAGGGACAGGTTGCATTCCCTGGGATTTGATAAATTACGGGTTGGAACCTAGCAGCGCTGTTCGCAGCATTGGATCCATGCCCGTCCATCCATCCAATCCAATACCCGCCCCGTCCATGCTACCTGGCCTTAGGCTTACAGTACCTTGCTGTAGTGGATGCCACCGCTGGGTACCTCTAGTACTGTAGGTAGGTACGTTACCTACTGGCCTCCACTTCATGGGCTAACAAAGAGGCGCTTGAAACCCCCTACCTAGCGGGAGGTACAGCGCAGCTCTGGGGTGGGCTGGGCGGGCACCTTAGGTAGTCCAGGCTTTTACCCCTCGGCACGAGGATTGGAGGTAAAGGAACAAACAACCGCCTATCGCCAGAGCCGCGCATTCTCTCCCTCTCCACATCCCACACCTCAACGACGTCGACTTGTCTTTCTCGCAGCGCACTCACTTTCACCTTCACCTCCATCCTCCATCCTCCATCCTCCAACTCGATCTAATTCAGTACTCATCTGAAGCTACAACACCGCAGCTATGGCCAACGACGAGTATGATGTACGTCCCAACCCTCTCCCTACCGTCCCGCCAGTTGCTGACCAGTGGACCCCCTTTGCAGTTCCTCTTCAAAGGTGCCGTCATTACCACCTCCCGAGGCCACGCCTGGCCTGGAGCTTGCGATCGCTAATTGCTGACATTGTGAACCTGCAGTTGTCTTGATCGGAGACTCTGGAGTCGGAAAGTCCAATCTTCTCAGTCGATTTACTCGCAACGAGTTCAACCTCGACTCCAAGTCGACCATCGGTGTCGAGTTCGCCACTAGATCCATCCAGGTCGACTCCAAGACAATCAAAGCCCAGATTTGGGATACCGCTGGACAAGAGCGATACCGCGCAATTACTTCCGCTTACTATCGAGGTGCTGTCGGCGCTCTCCTCGTTTACGATATCAGCAAGCACCAGACTTACGAAAATGTCACACGGTGGCTCAAGGAGCTACGAGACCACGCCGACGCCAACATTGTCATTATGCTGGTTGGAAACAAGAGCGATTTGCGACACCTGAGAGCTGTTCCCACGGAGGAGGCCAAGTCTTTTGCCAGTATGCATTACCTCGGACAAATTTGATTGATGAAGTAGAGGAGGATCCCTTTAACTGACACATGTAGGCGAGAACCACCTGTCCTTTATTGAGACGTCCGCCCTCGATGCCAGCAACGTTGAGCTTGCATTCCAGAACATTTTGACTGGTCGGTTATCTCGCATCCCCCGATGCTATGTCTGTGACAAAAACTAATACTTGGCTCAGAAATCTATCGCATCGTTTCCAGCAAGGCCCTCGACAGCGGCGACAGCGCCCAGGCCACCATAGGCGCAGGAACCAACATTTCGCTGAGCAAGCCTGCCGACGATGATGCCGCAAAGGGTGGAAAGTGCTGTTAAATTACTTGCGGAACCGTTTGCAGATTGATATAGGGCTCTGGGGTTTGGGATACCTGGCGTCTCGTTTGTCCCCGAAAATGCTCCTAGTTAATGGAGAGTGGAGGAGGCGAGGAATCGTGATACGTCTTTTTTTTATATCAGAAGGCGCGGTTACTTCGGCTTTCCTTTGTTCTTATTTTTTGTCATGATGGTTGTCTTGGGGTTGATGCTTCCAACGATCGCTGCGACATGGTCATCTTAACGTAGCTGAATGAATTCTTTATAATGTTCGCCCTGACTGCAAGCTGTTGCATTGCATCTCGCTTCCGTCCGAGTCAGACGCCACAATCTCTATACGCCTCCACGTCATGCTGATCAGATCGAATGCGAGTTTTGGGCCAAACGTCGAATGAATTGATCTAGTGCTTGGCTTGTTCTCAAGGGTCCATTTGTGCTCACAGCGGGGCATTCTTGTCACATGCTGTTGGATGTGCTGGAACACCGGTCTTCATTGTTAGAAGTGAAAGGCGGTTGATCTTTGTTTATCATATTTTAGTGCTCGAATTGATGCAAACTATAATTTTTCAAAGTCAACCCTTTCGGGTGACTTTCGTTGGAAAAACGCACGTGTACTGTACCATCGCGACTGCATGTTCTTAGGTTTCTACCTACCTGCCTTACTACTAATCCATGCCAACTCCTAATACCCCTGGCTCGGTATTGTTTCGATTTCTGTCTGGGATGGATCCATCCACCTAGAAATGGGCTCGGGCTTGGGCGGTGTCACGGCCCCACCAAGCATCCCCACTTTCTCTTATCGCCCGACTTTGAGTTCTTATCAAATCCCAGCCGACCAAATTTTTTTGGAAAATTGCCTGGCCGCGTCGCAAAGCCTTGCTTGTCCAGTAAAACATCCATCACCAGAATTACGATAGGTCTTCCTGATAATCGACAGTAATCGCGAAGCCGCAGCGTACTCAAAATGGCTGCTGTGTACAAATCTATTTCCAAATCCAGCGCTCCAAAGGCGGAAGCGCCTAGCAATGGCATCAAAAAGAACAAGCAGAGGGTTCTGATTCTTTCCTCCAGAGGCGTCACCTACCGGTAAGGATCCTGCTGCTTTTGAATTGGAAGCGCATCCCACTGACATTATGAAATTTGTGTAGACACCGTCACCTCCTTAACGATATTGCATCTATGCTTCCTCACAGTCGAAAGGATGCAAAGTTCGATTCCAAGACCAAGCTTTACGAACTGAACGAGCTGGCCGAGCTTTACAACTGCAACAATGTTCTATTCTTTGAGGCAAGAAAGGGCAAGGATCTCTACGTTTGGCTCAGCAAGGTTCCCAATGGACCTACCATCAAGTTCCACCTTCAGAACTGTAAGGGACGAGAGCAACAAAACAGATGACTCAAGCCGCTAATAAAACGTAGTGCACACAATGGAAGAACTCCATTTTACCGGCAACTGCCTCAAGGGATCACGACCTGTCCTCTCTTTTGACGGCGCTTTTGACAAGCAGCCTCACCTGCGATTGATCAAGGAGCTCTTCCTCCACACCTTCGGAGTTCCCCAAGGTGCCCGAAAATCCAAGCCCTTCATCGACCATGTTATGGGATTCAGCTTCGTCGACGGCAAGATTTGGGTTCGAAACTATCAGATCAACGAGGTTGAGGCGACAACGAAGGAAGCAGAAGAGGATGAGGAGTCGAAATCCAAATCTAGGTCTGGAAAGCCGGATACTGACATCAACCTGGTCGAGATTGGTCCCCGATTTGTCCTGACCCCCATTGTGATTCAAGAGGGCTCCTTTGGCGGTCCCATTATCTACGAGAACAAGGAATTCGTGTCACCGAACCAGGTCCGCGCCGACCTCCGAAGGACGAAGGCCTCGCGACACAATGCACGCGCTGAGCAAGAGGTGGAGAGACGGGCCAGGAAGGGCGATCTCGGCCTCCGATCTGCTGGTGGTCAGCGTCCTGCCAAGGATGAGCTGGATACCAAGATGCTGTTTGCCTAGACTATTTGATACCTGTCGATATACTTACTGGCTTGTTCCATTGGGTCTGTAAACACCTGGACGGGGTGTTGGAGTTTAGGTCATGCCGCGCTGCTATTTTCCAAAAGAATATAAAATTCGCTTCTTATATCAACCAGGCTGTAGATCTTAAATCTTTTTGATATGACCTTGACGCCACAAGTAGCCCAGGTCGCATCATCAATTGACCCGCTCGGAGAAAGCCCGGCTATTCGTTATCAGTACGCGACTGTCCTGGAACCTCATGTTATGTACATACTCGTTTAGGATGATCCCTATATCCTTCTTGTTGTGTTCTATTCTCAATGCCTTGTTGCACACACAAGATCTTCTCCTAATACAGCCATGCGAGCTTCATTTGATCAGATATTGATGCCTGAATGCATCCGTATTATTGTCTCAAGCCCCGACGTTGGGGTGGCTGGACAATAAGCCCTGTATCATTGACGCCTTGAGTGACTTAACTGTGAAGTCTCTCGAAGCGACATAGAGTCAAACAACTCTTATTTTAGTATCAGATCAACTCAACTATACGCAAGACAAGGTCTTTGAAGACCCCAAGTCCCAATTATCGAGAAGTCAAAATTATATATGCGCCATTCCACCAACAAACAAAATGCCAGTTCATCAGGTCAGTCATTCATTCCCTGCATCGTCATTTATGATTTAGGGCCTAATCGTTATAGCAGTCGTAAGAGCGTTGGACCTACTTCTCTCATAACAAGCACGTCGTTTTACATGCGAGGTATCTTGTCGTTTATCGTCGACATAATTATCTATTTACACTCTGACTACTAACTCTCTTAACTTTCGAAATACCATACCGCCAGGGTGTCAGAAGACTTCGCCGCCAAGAGCATAAGAGACGAAATAATTAGGTCATCTTATGCAAGCTTAGGCTAGCAATTGGACTACTTTATTTCTGTAGCCTAAGCCTTAGAAGACAATTCTTCTGACACACACACACCCGACCTGCATACCTACCTGCACGCCATACCTTGTCATCTATAGGCATGCAGTTATCCATTAAGTTTCCTGAAAACATGGCGCTCAAGACGCCAAAAGCCCTTTGCCTCACCGAGCTCCCAAACGAAATCCTTCTGGAGATATACCACCAGCTGGACTTGGACGGCGTTTTCAACCTCTGTGCCACCCACGACACATTTCACGAACTGTTTACTAAGAAAAAGGCTTCAATACTACTTCCCGTCCTAACTCGGGAGTTCAGCCCCTTCGATGAACTTCTTCAGGTTTACACGGCCTCTATTGAAGACCTTGACTGCCGCAGTGGCCTGTATATTCCACGAAGAGTTATATTCAAGCGGTTTCCTGGAGATACCGGAACAGTGTTGGCACCAAGCTGTGACCATAGACCTGCTGTGGCAGCAGAAGCTGTGGGCGGTTTCATTACTCTGAACAAACCTGGGAAGCCCATCATACCCTCGGGTCAGCCTCACAAAACGGTTGTTTTGACAGAGGATGATTTGAAGCCGCTACTCGGCTATTGCTCACTTGTGTTAAAATGGCAAGCCAGGTTTCCGCAGATGAGATGGTTCCATGAACCTGAGAATTGCCGCCACCTCCGAGGACACGAAGCTGAGAGATTCCGCAGGGCCATGTATCGCTGGTGGCTCTACGGCTTCTACTTTCACGGAGAGTTCCCACGACCCCGTATCGGCCTTCCCGAGCCAGGTGTGGATGATGTACGACTTAGTCAACTTCGATTTTACTCCACAAGTGAGCTTGTAGAGCTCATGGACTTGGTCGAGACTATGAAGGATGTTGTCTTGCATTATCTCTGTCCCCGCCTGGACCCCAGTCAAGATGAATATGTAAGCTCATAGCAACTAGACCCGGCTGCACATACTGATACTATCTCTAGGAGGGATATAGCTCTTATCTATATGACGTTGTTGACCGACCCGACTCGCTTGCGAGAGGTTGGCGCGATCAGAGTCGATGGGGTCGGATCATAAAGACATACTGTAAACTCGGCCCCAAAGACTTGATGTACCTATTTGAGAACATCTACAGTTATCCTCGGAACCGACTTATCACAGAAGCTCGTTCTCTTCAGCCAAACCTCACCTTTGACCAGGAGTCTATCTCAATATCAACTCAATGTGTGTTGGATGAGCGACAGTGGTCATTGAATATGCCTGCTCTACCTCTAGATGGATTAGGAGGTGTTCTAGACTGGGACGACGAGCGCGATGCAGAGCGCACCACATTCGGGAGCGATGGAAGCCTGGATGGGACGTTACCAGGAGGAGCTAGGATGTTGAGGTCATGGTCTCACTACTCACCCCGAGGAGATGATGGCTCTCACCTGGACGACATTCATCGACATCCTTGGTTTGAAGGTAGATCCATGGTATCGTTTGCTTAACGTTCCCTAACAGGATGTTGTTGATAGACTTTCAGTCACCGTCTAGATATGGAGATATGTAAATGAACAGGACCCCAGGCTAATAATTAGAAGCATATATCGTGTGTCCTCCACTTACGCTCCCCGATGCTACTTAGTTATGAATGGGAAAATATTAGATAACACCCTCAGGACATCGGAAGAATTAGCCCATAGAGGCATAAGAGACGAAACTATCTGGTCACTTTATGCCGGCTTAGACCAGAATTTAGGCTACCTACTTTATAATTGCAGCCTAAGCCTTAGAAGACAATTCTTCTATCACCCACCTGATCATCTAGAGAAGTCCTACTCCATACTAGTAGGTAATCAAGAGACACCATAGTACATGCTGTCTCCCTTACCACTATAGTGGTGTTGGAGTTCTCGCCGCAGAGGTTGGCTTTTAAACCAACATCAGTCTTGACTAACTCACTTGATCTTTGGAAATTGGATGTCGAAAATGTGGTGTCAAAATCTACCTCAGTAGGTACTACTAAGCAGGCGGCGGTCGTCCAGAAAATAACCAAAACACAGAAGCCTATCAACAAAATAACTTAGACATGCTTAGACAATAAAGCTTAGAGTAGACTATCCTAATCTTTATGATACCCTTAAATAAGTCTCGATTTTTCAACTCACCTGCTAAGGTATTGGATGGAAGCCATCAATCAGTCCATAGTACCTGAGAGGCCTAAGCAAAACCCCCCACTACAATGGATGGTACCTAGTCATGGGCTTTCAGGGACCGATAGCGCCTAAAACCAATGGAGAGCACAGGGCAGCGCATGCCAATAATTGACCTTCACCTCTGCTGCCCGCTGAGCCTCACCTCTCTCTCCCTTTGATTCTCATCCACTTGTTTCTGAGCAGCTTGGTTATCCAATATCAGCCGCCGCAACGACAGCTGCGCGCGCATCTCCCTCCACGACACACGATTGGAATTGATGTACACCAAAATCTGAAAGCGGCTCGTGTTCTCTCAGGACAATACTCTCTGTTTATGAGCTTGTCGCGGCAATTACGATCGCGCCATCTTTAGCAGGGGTGAGTAGTGTTTTGTTTGCTGCTTTGCTTTGCTTTGAAGGTACCATTTCTAGTATGCTTTTATTTTATTTGGCTATGCTCAACCTAAACTTGCTGCATTAGGTAGGAGGCTTGCATTTCTTTGTTCGCGTCCACGCACCTGATTGACAAAGTGCTTATGAGCATCCGAGAGGAAACAATGATACCTCGAGATCCTTAAATAGCGTTGGCTCATGCATCTTGCCCTGCTAACATGGATCTGTTACACTTCTTTCTTCTTATTTCTTCCTTCCACAACATATCATCTATTGAACTTCTTTCCTTCTACATACCAATTCATTTAACAATACTTCAGGCACGTATACCGGCTGCACCCTTGACATAGTGTCATCTTGACTCGCCCTACGGTTCACAAATCCTGGGGCACCAGACCTTCAAAGAGAAAAGCATTCGCCTAGCATGGAACCAGATGCTACAGATAGCGTCGACTACCCTATGAAAGATCTGGATGCGCCAAATGGACCCAGTCAGACTCACAACAACAGTATCGATGATGATGATACAGCTTCCGAGGACCCTTATGAGGCGGATGTTGACCCTGAACCTCAGGACATCGCTCTCGATCAGATGAGACGAAGGGGATTATTACCCACAGGATGTTGTTACGATGATAGAATGAAGCTACACATGAACGCTGACTTCTCGCCTAATACGCATCACCCAGAAGATCCTCGTCGCATCCACGAGATTTTCAAGGCTTTCAAAAAGGTTGGCCTAGTCTACACTGGGCCTGAAGGAGAGCTGCCGAAAATTATGAGAGAATGTCCGACACGCTACATGTGGCGCATCCCTGCTCGTCCTGCCACTCGAGAGGAGATTTGTCTCGCCCATGCCGCTGAGCACTTCGATTGGGTAAAGCATCTGGATGATATGAGCACCTCAGAGCTTCGAGAATTGACAAAACGGTATGACCAAGGAAGAGAGTCTCTGTACGTTGGTAGTATGTCGTATACAGCTGCACTGCTCTCAGCGGGAGGAGCCATCGAAACCTGCAAGAATGTTGTGACCGGACAAGTCAAGAACGCATTCGCTGTGATTCGACCACCAGGACACCACGCCGAGTGGGATTCGCCCATGGGTTTTTGCTTTTTCAACAATGTCCCTGTAGCAGTTAGAGTCTGCCAACAGGAGTACCCAGATCTCTGCCGCAAAGTTCTTATCCTGGATTGGGATGTTCATCACGGCAACGGCGTGCAAAACATCTTCTACAACGATCCAAATGTTCTATACGTCTCTCTCCATGTCTACCAGAACGGTATATTTTATCCTGGTAAACCTCCCAACGCCATGACACCGGATGGAGGCATCGAGCACTGCGGGAGCGAAGCAGGTCTTGGCAAGAACATCAACATCGGATGGCATGATCAAGGCATGGGTGACGGAGAATACATGGCTGCATTTCAGAAAATCATCATGCCTATCGCCAAGGAGTTTAACCCTGACCTTGTGGTTATCTCTGCAGGGTTTGATGCTGCCGACGGCGATGAGCTCGGAGGGTGCTTTGTCTCTCCCGCTTGCTATGCTCACATGACGCATATGCTGATGTCCTTGGCGGATGGCAAGGTTGCTGTGTGTCTGGAGGGTGGCTACAACCTGAAGGCCATCTCGGTGTCTGCTGTAGCTGTTGCTAAGACTCTCATGGGCGAACCTCCACCCAGGTTAGAGCTGCCCAAGATCAACAAAGAAGCGACACGAATCCTTGCCAAAGTTCAATCATTGCAAGCTCCGTATTGGGAATGTATGCGGCCGGGGGTTGTCAATGTTCCCGAGGTCCAGTCACTGAATTCTGCTCGTTTACACGATGTGATTAGAAACGCTCAGAGGCACGTATTGCAAGCAAAGCACAACATGATACCTCTATACATCCAACGCGAGAAATTGTACAAGTCGTATGAGAACCAGGTGCTAGTTACGCCGGGCATTTCCGAAGCAAAGAAAGTTCTCATCATTATTCACGACCCGTAAGTTGCTAATCTACTCCGTGTAGAGTTGTTCATGGCCACTTACATATTCTAGTCCTCAGCTTTTGGCGCAAGCAGACGCAATAGATTCGTCTCTCGACCCGCACAACGCATGGGTTGTAAGTATATGCGATCTATACGTGTTTGATCAAAGACTGATTCCTTTAGGTTGATGGTGTGACAGACTACATAGACTGGGCCGTTGACCAAAAGTTCGGTGTCATGGACATCAATATTCCAGCTTATGTCACCCATGACGAGGTATTCACTCATTTCTACAGACCACCTGAGTTGTATTTCTCACATGATAAACAGGATTCCGATGCGCATATTCCCAATTTTAAGGAGCAAGCTTTGACAGAACAAATACAAACTCTTGTTTGCTACCTGTGGGATAATCACATGCAGCTTTACGAAGCTGATGACATCTTCATCATGGGTGTCGGAAACGCCTATCTTGGAGTCAAGGTCCTCCTGATCCAACGAGGTAAGGTAATCACTGGACTGGTGATGACAACTGTCTAACACAAGCTAGATTGCAAATCAAGAATATCGGGTGTTGTAAACTTTGCCAACGGAACTCTTCGACCTGTCAAGTCGGAATTCGATACGGAGTTGTCCTCGTGGTACAAGGACAACTCGCGTGTCTTTATCGCGGGGGATCATGCCTGCTGGGCCGATGCCAGCTTGACGAAAAAGGTCAACAAACGACGGTTTGGGACAGTTGTGCGCAGCCCCATGATTGGCCTGAATAAGATGATGGCCCATCACGCAGAGGAGGCGCGAGAGTGGATGATCGAACGACTCGAAGTGCCATCGGATGCAGATATGACAACTGAGGAGAAGTAATGGCAACGATTTGAGACAGGGTATGAGGATTCAGACAAACCCGCACTGCCTTTATGTAACCTCGCTGCAGTAGGCCATGGTGAGCAGGGCAGATATGGAGCTACATTTCATTTCTCTATATTATATAGGTATCTCTTGGTAGCGCTTTGTATTGTAAACTTACCGGTATCCTCATTTGGGCGAGTAGTCAGTGAATTGAGGCGTGAAACCAGCCTCTTCATTTGTCTACTAGTACCTTAGTAGTGTGCCGGTATTCTAAGTACCTAGGTACTAAGGTATATGAACTGCCCGGAGGTCATCGCAAGATAACACAGTGCGTGATGACGCAAGCACAGTACGGATCGTGTTATCAGCTTATCAATGCCCGACCCGGACATCGGGATGTAAAATCTCCGACCTCCCTGTTCAAGTCCGTCGCAAGTCAACTTTAGACTTGTGACTTGCAACGACGCGTGCTTGCCCTTTTGTAAAGGCATAGCACAACACATCAACACAACCTTTTGCGAGTGTCGTTTGTTTAGGAGAAGAATGGACCGCGATCGAGGTCGAAGGTAAGCTTTGAGATATGCCTCTTCCCCCATACTTGCACATTGTTATTATCACCACTATTCCATTCCGATTTGTACTTGGATTTGCGACATGCCGGCTGCTTCAATCTTCCATCCGACTCCTGGGCCATCAGCACACCTTCAACAGACACTACCACGCGAACCGATACGAGCCGATATCCGCATTACTTATCCTTACTTCGATCCAATTTGAGAGGAGAGATAGAAGGACAAAGACTTGGCGCAGGCGCTTTGGCGAAACGCTCCTATCTGAATTTGACAAAGACCAATGTTTTTGCGTCAGCCTGCACATCCCGATAGGAAATACAATCGAGCCTCCTGGCGCACACATGGAAGGACCTGGATGCCGAGCCACCGCTTTGCAAGTTTGCAAGACCAAGAACCGAAAGTCGGATCGAGTTCTTTCGACGGGACCCATATCTGGAACTTAACGTCACCACGCGGCATCACACACTTTCAACATATGGTTACACAAGGCTCATTTGTGAGCTTGGAAAGGGAGACAGCTATGGGCTTTTGTTTCGGCTAGTTCTCCTAGAAATCGCCAAACATCGTCAAACGAATGGTGATGAATTCACAGGCGGAACCTAGTATATCGAGCTCTTGCGCCCCTCTTAGAAGTAGACGACATCTGCTTCTGTCCCAACAACTCTATGGGAGCCCTATGGGAGGAATTTCGCATTATGAGCATCAGCGTTTTCGGCCAGCAGCCACCAGAAGCCCTTTAAACAGACAGAGTTGCGAGGTGCACCTTTGTTGTTTCCGACAGCGAGCCTCTTCTCGCCCATAGTCTATGTGTCCCTTCCGCCCCCCAAAAAGAAGATACCCGAATCAGCGACCGACCAACGAATCTGGATACACCAATCCTACCTTATAACCTTCTTTTGCTCTTCATTAATGTTCCACTGTTTTGCTCTACCAAAATCTCATCTACCCATAACTTGTTATCACACGGCTGACTTTTACAGGTTCGATGACGGGGAAGTCGTTAGATACGGTGCAGGCGAGTCGTGGCGACCCACTCCTCGAGATCGATCCCCCAGGCGGGTTAGAAGCCCTACTAGAGAGAGGGTTAGAAGCCCGGTCAGAGAACGAGCAAGGAGCCCGCGACCTAGAAGTCCGCGTCCCCGAAGTCCAATTCCTTCTGGATCCGACAGCTATGTGCCTGGAAGATATCCACCACGTCGTAGGTCGAGAAGTGGTGGGGGTGATCGGTATCGACGGGAGCGATCGAGAGGAGAGCGAGAAAGTCCGCGCCGACGAGAGCGTAGTAGGTCTATGAGGCGGCCATCCCCTCGACGTAGTTTATCGCGGAGACCCTCGCCTCCGCGCGGCGGTGATAGGTATGAGCGTCCTCGGTCCCCGGCTCCTGTTAGAGACTGGGAGCGAGATCGCGAAAGAGTCAGGGATAGAGAATGGGATCGTGACCGAGTACGCGATAGGGGTCGCGACTTCGAGCGGCGCGATGACAGGTAAGCGTCCTAAGTATATATATACACCTTGGGACTAACTGACAAAAGACGACGATCTAGGTCTCCCTTCGGAGTGATTCGACGCGATAGAAGCCCTATCGTGAGGTCTCCTGTAACAGGGCCTCGAGGTGGTTCATACAGGCCACGTTCACGGTCCATGAGTCGGCGTGGAAACGACAGATACCAGTCATACAGACGAATTAGCCCCCCCAGAGAATCCGGAATCTCGTCAGCCATCACCTCACAGTCGGCGTCTGGAAGGTCATCTCCTCGACCTAGCTCGGTGAGAGCTCGTTCACCACTTCAGTCTCGGGAACAGTCTCCCCACCATGCCATGCCAGGAGCCGCACCACCTAGAGAGGCCCCTAGACCTGGCCCTTACGACACAAACGCATCTGCTCCGGTGCGATCGCCGCCTAGGGGGCCCGCAGCATTGAGAGCACCCCCAACTGGCCCTGCAGCAAACAGGAACATTACAGCCCCAGTGGTTTCACCAGCTCCGCCACCTCCTGCTAGAATTCAAACACCCACTGCGCCCCCACAGCGCTCGGGCACTACAAGTCCAACCATTCCACCAGCTGGTCCGAGAGGTTATGTGCCCCCTGCCAGAGGTGGTTTTGCTCCGCGTGGAGGACGCGGCGGTTGGAATCAAGCACCGGCGAGACAATTCTCCGGACCTTCTCCCACGCCATCAACGCCCAACGGACCCTCAACCATTCCCACTGGTCCACGAGTTGCTCCGCCAAATGCACCCTTAGTGTCGACACCAACACAGTCACGGCCATTTAATCCTCCGACTGGACCATCGGCACAGCATGCTGGTGGTGCGCGGCAAACTTTGGCGCAGTCTATGCTTGCGACACTGCCTCCTATTATCCCAGGTGGCAAGCTTGATCCTTCAATGACACCTATCGCTTTGGGAGTGACTCGGGAGCTTGAGCCACATTACCGGAAACTGAAGGATGAGGAGGAGAAAGTGAGGGATGAGCTGCATGCAAAGCAGGAGCGGCTGCGCAAGAGTCTTTACACATGGAATAGGCTTGAGCGTGATTCGCGAGCATGGGAGATGCGAAGCGATCTGAGTGAAAAGAGCATGAAAAATCTTGCAGGTGAAGGCATGGGAGGTGCTGCGTTCTAATAAATAGATACATGGTTCTGGGGGAGCATTGTATGTTTCTTGGTTGGGCGCTGGGGTGCAGATTATGACTTGTGCTTGGTTTAGACAATGGATGCCGAGAGGACTGCAGTGCAAGATCAACTTGAGAGCTGCTAATGTCGGGTTTAACTCGATGATCATGAGGGTATCGAGATATGCTAGTTCGGGAGACACCCTAGGTAAAGTAATGTGTATCATGTACGATAAATGTATGTATCTGTCATCAGCTGCATTAAGCACATTCGGTTTATTGTCATGCAAAGCCCTTGATCTAATTTACGGTACCTGTACAAGGTCAAAGTTCCGGTCAGAACGAGTATAGTGACTGAACCGTTTTGATCATCATGACTCTGATTGGTGTTCGTGTCACCCTGAGGCCCGGGTACTGGTTTTGATGTTTTGTCGGGTCTTTGTAGTTAATGCTATTTAGAAAGAAAGGGGAAGACACTATTGAGAATCTCTCAATTCTGTTTGAGGACGCATAATGTCCCCTATGTGCCTACCTCCCCCCCATTTCATGCTTCATACCGGGGTACAAGCTCATGATATAGCCACTGCCAGAATTTGAGACTGCCACAAGGTCTGACAGCTATACCGGTTCGACTGGGACAGTAAATCCTGCTTAAAGGCCTCGCTCATATCACCAATACTGGTTGCAGCGGAAATCTGGCAATAGGTATGTTGATTATGCATACCTCAGCATAAGTGTACAGTAAGCCAGTCATCATTCCACACAGTCCAACTGCACAAAGTTACCAAGTCTGTAGAAGCGAAACGACAAGTTTGAATTTTAACGACTGGCCACAGGGTAATAGCAGTATGAAAATTGGGTACAATATTGTTTCCGACTTTTACAAGTATAAGCTGACATAATTCTAGAGCAAACGGGATGAACAAGACGTGTAAGCAAGCTTCCAATTTCTCGTCAGTTCTCAGCACCAAAAACACTAGAGCAAGTGGACAACCTGGTCGTATGGATTGATGTTTTAGCTGCAGGAAGCTCCAAGCCATGTAAGAGTCTTAAAAATAGCAAACGCATGACATATCGTGTATCGTCGTTTTTTATTGCTGGCAGCTAAGCTAACGCCAAACAAAGACCGCATCATCATCCTCGTCATGGTCGCCGTTCCATTCTTCGTCAGATTCGGCACGATCATCATCCATGAAGTCTTCCATACCATATTGCAGTTCTGTAGGTTTCTGATTGTCAAAGACGATGGAGACAGTAGTGCAGCGTCCCTGGATCACAGGCGCTGTGGGCTTTTTGGTCTGGTCCTCAGAGCCTTCGTCTGTACCCTCTACCTCTTGCCCGTGACGATCCGACATGGGACTTTGCATGCTACCTTCCTCGTCAGTGTCGAACTCATTCTCGTCAGTCTCTGGCTCTGCATATGTAGGACGACCATGGGAGCTGCGAAGACCCTTCGAGTTGGTGCTGTGCCTTGATTCGGAATCTGAGACGTGTGCCGCTAGACGATCGCTTCGTCGAGACGGGCCATCAGAAAGACGTTTTGGCTTTTTCTTTTTGTCCAGCACTTGGGATACCTCTTCATCTTGTGTTTCACGCATGGAGTAATGTTTTCTTGGTGGTTCGAAGGGGCGAAGGAAGACTCTATCAAGTTTCCGTCTCCATTCGTGGCGCATATTAGCACGGGCCTTCCAGGGTATGTTGAGCATCGTTTTCACAGCAAGATGGCGCAAGTCGGGTAGAGCAGCAGCACTATCTAAAATAGACCCAAGAAACATTTCTGCGGTTTCAACGCTCCAATGTCGAATGTGTTCAAAATCGATGACTCGAAGGCTAGACGGCCACTCTGGTTTTTGGTGCGGTAGTAAAACTTGGTCGTACAAGGGGTCGGCGTCATTGTTGGTCATGGATACGGAGTCATGATGGTGAAAATACGAAAGGTTCATATACAGCTGTTCCAGTTTAGGGCAGGAATCCGCCAGTGTGGTCAAGAATACCAAGTCTAGTGACTGATTGTGTAGCAGACTCAGGCTGCGGAGATGTCTGCCATGGCTGTGCAGGAACAGCATAAACTCATCAGACTTGATCTCCCAACAGTTGATCAAAGAGAGATGCGTCAGGTCCCTTGGAAGAAGGGGAAGCAGCCGGTCATTCATGACAGTCGACGACTCGAACACGAGGTGTTGAAGCGATTTCAACTGAGAAATCGCCTCAGCAATCGACTTGATGACTGATTCATCTTCGTTGTAAAGTTCTAGTTCTCGTTCCTCAGTGGCACCTTTCGACCCTAACTTCCAGAGAGATGGGACCTGAAGGTTTGTGAAGTTAAGTTTCGTGAGATGAGCAAATGAAGGGTCACAATGGATGCGACCAACATCCTTCATGGTACCCACCGCTCCCCCCAGCAAGCTCCCACTCCACTCCCAACTCTTTAAAGTGGTATATTCCATCTTGTTCTCGTCACCGATTTTGAGCGACTCGGGCCGCTCGAGGCTTGGTTTCAAGGCATGGAATATATCTTCTGTGTAATACCATCTCACTGGGTGATTCAACTGTCTGTATGGCGGCTGATCAGACGCTGTGAAAATGATGACGTCTTTTAAACGCGGAAGCACACGGAGTATTTTGGGCAATAGTAGCTGGGGCACAATCTGAACATCTAAATACAGAGTCTCAATTTTGGTGCGGTAGTTGAAGCGGGTTTCAGAAGGAGGACAGTCGAGCAGAGCTGCGAATCGTTTGGCCTTGCCCGTCGTTGTCAGAGGTGGTGAGCGGTAAATAGCTGTCAACGCCGCTTCCGAGAAGGTTCTGCAGGTAGTGGCAGTGCTTATCAACCAGTTGACATCAAGGCTATCATTGCCTGCGATAGCTGCGTAGTAGAAGATATCGGCCCAGGCACCGTACGGTATTTGGGGGCTAGTCCAGGGTGGAATAATACCCTGTGGTATTGGTTCGACTTCAACAGACACGCGACGCTTCTTCAGAGACCTTGTTTTAATTTTTGCTGGTTGAGATCGCTTCCTTGTTTGTTCTCGAGGGGTTGCCTTCTTTCCTCCCAACTCAGTCGCAAGATCAACCAAGGACGTTGTTCGAGAAGCACCTGTGTGTCGTGTGCTCCGGCGATTGTGGGTTCGGCTTGGCGCATTTTCTACCGGTTCTGTATTTCGAGCCCGATGCGATCGTGGTTTGGGTATAGCATCGCCGTCTTGTTCGACCTCACTCTCGGCATCCCCTTCGTCGGGCGAGTACGGGTTACTCAGGGAAGAATCGGAGTTCTCATGTTCGGATGATTCGTTATAACAAAGCTGATCGTTTCTTGACCTCCTTGGGCGTGCTGTCAATGTTGTGGCATGTGCGTGGGAGGATCGGCGAGCATTGCGACTGGCGGAGACACCAGGCATGCTCTGGCAGCTGCCGACTTGGTTACGGACCATCTCGTATTCTGCGCCTGTTGAAACAAATGCATTAGCCAGATCCTAATGATGAAATGGATGGTAAGTTTGTAAGAAGCGAGACAGAAAGGGCCATGCGCAGAATTGAACGTTGATCGTACCTTGAACGGCTCCAGAAGATTGGTGCGTTGGTGTGATGATGTAGTGGTAAGAGTTAGAGGGGCAAGAACTAAAGTCCAGCCTTGCGTTTGCGGACTGTAAGGTGGGGCTGGACACTAACAGCCAATAAGGTGGAACCAATCATCGAAGCTTAGGTAGTGGCCAGTCGCGGCAAGGCTACGAATGAGTATGGGGACATGCATTCACCCAAGACGTGGAATACATAAGGTAGACGTAAGGAGAATATTAAGCCATGCTGGTCAAGATGAACCTTTAAAACTTCAAGGTAATTGATCTAGTATTCGCGTCTCTGCTTACTTATAGTATAAGGTATATGCATTTGATCATATTGGCAACATTCTGAGGTGAACTTTTGGTGAGCTGGCTACCTTCTCAGAGAGGTATCTCTGACTAGCAAATTCACTCATGGAACAATAGGTAAGACGAGAAGCCCGGGCGGACATTTGATTTTCTTGGAACACATGCGAGTCTAAACCACCGGTCTTACACACGGACAGCTGTACAGCGAATTGTGTGTACTAGATGAGAGGAACAAGGTGTCGGCAACGAGGCATGATGGGCCCTAACTAGATCTCATGATAGAATGAACTGAAGTCGCGAAACATTGGAGGCCAAAGGGGTTGGGCCAGCGCAGTGAATCCATCCGATTGAACCCCACCACCCAAAGGCCCATGCATAAATAATTTCCAGCAGACCTAGGTAAGTAAGTTCCCGTCTTCATGAGGCAGTGGAGAGCCTGTAATTCGCTGTCACTGAGAACGGCCTATCCTGTCGGGTGGCACGAACTCGACCGCGGATTCTTGTACCCGCCCCGCTTAAGTACTGCCTGTGAATGGCGGGTGCTCCCCGCCGCGCCTCCCATTGCCAGGCATGACTTAGGCTCTAGTGGGAGTCGCGATCGAGTTTCCAGGCTATGCCCCAGGCCCAAGGTCGCTGCGCGGGCGGGCTTTTACCTCCACTGCCATTCAGCCCGGTTGTCACTGAGCACTGACTGGACTGGACATGAGCCCCAGTGGACTGTCCTGCACGCGTCTCGTCGGTCACTTTCCCTTTCCATGCCGCGCTCACTCAGCCAAGTGTCAATACATCTTTCTTCTCATGAGAACAAACTCTCGCCCTATAATCCCTTCCAAGTCCTCCACTCCCGCCTCCTCTCTCTCACTCTCTTGAAAACGATAGAACGCGCTTATGAGTTTCAACCCAACCCAACTCAGCTTATAAACACAACGCATCTAGGACGTTTTCAAGTGGCAGTAGCACTGCACTGAGCCTCTAAAGTCTGGCGTCGAGGGGAACTTTTCAATTGTTCCCGTCACCACGCGACCAGGTTCCCACATCTCCTCCTTAACTCATTATTTACATCCACCACGAATAGGACAAACCCGACCAGGAAGGCATGAGACAGGACAGGACAGGATAGGACACCAAGCAACAAGCAATCCCTATCGCCGTCTTATCCCAAAGACGATTATCCTCTTACTATTCATTTCCTCCTTCCTATCCCGACCCTTTTCGCCTTTTCTCTTCGGATTTGGTTCTACAGTTTGTGGCGTCGCTTGCTTTCTAGCCTACCTACCTATACTGGGCTCTTCTTTCCTTTGACTTCCTACTTCTCTCCCGTCATTTTTCTTCTTTTCTACCTGACAAACTCATTCTTGGTCTGCGCGACGACAACAGACAACAACAAATAATGAACGCCAAAGCAATCAACTACTAAACTAATATATTGCCCTTTGCTCTCAGCAACTGCGACGACGCAATACTGCATCTCATGCAGTGTTCTCAACCACAAACCCACCCGCAGCCATTGTCGCCTTTCGCAAATAGCTGCACCACAGAGGCCTGCGCTCACGGGCCTGTTCATCATATCATTTCTCAACCTTCCAATGTCCCCTTCTCTTCCACTATGACGCAGAAAAAAGGATATACAAGGACAGTCCCGTTCACTCAACAAACTTGGCAAGTCACCCACAACGCTAAAAATATGAACGGGAACTCCTCTGCGCCCAAGAGCCATGATGATGCTACTACTACTGCTCCTCCGCAGAAGCGTCGACGCTTGTCGGCATCGAAACCGCTCCACGACACTTCTGTACCTTCAGAAACAGAACGGCATTCATCACTTCGCATTGAGATTCACAAACTCTTTCACAAGGATTCCAAAAGAGTTCGGCCTCTTCAAGAAACTCCGCCAAATGATGAAATTCTCAACACCAAAGGCAAGTGCCAGATCACCATTTCTGATGTGAGCGGAGGCTTTATCAATATCGTCCATCGTGTCAGTCAGAGTTGCGACATAGTCTCTTACAAAAATCCCTCGGGACCTCATCGGATTATTTTCATTAAACCACTAGAGTCGTTTGTTGTTCCTGAGGAAACCATCCTGATCAACAGGCAAGATGATCCGTCTCACGACTACTCGTCATCTTACAAACTTGATGTTGAGCTGAGCTCAATCAATGATGGTAGCTGGCCACCACTCAACGCCCAGGAACTGGGATTCACGGAAAGCCAGCCCCAAGCCAAGCCATTGGCTGATGCTGGTGAGCAGAAATGGGTTCTGCACAGCGAATTTCCCCAGATCTTCGGAAGGTGTAAAAATCCCGTCAAGCTCACAGCCGGCGTTCACCCAGAACGACCGGAGTGCCATACCGATTATGTCATGGACATAAATCTACGCTGGGCTACCGCGTTTAAGCCTATTGACAAAACTGCCAACAGTTGCATTACTGCTGTAGATCCAGATGCCGAGGAAATTTATACCAGCGATATTCTTGAACCTATTCCTGACGATCAACTCGACAGTGTGAGCCCTCTCGCTGTCGAAGATGGCGTCAACGTTATTGGCGACACGGGTGAAACCAACGAAATCAACGGCGCCAGCGAAACCGAGGGCGTTGGCGAGATACACGGAATCAATGAAACCAATGGCATCAAAGAAGTTGGAATCGCCAATGATCATGAATCAGATGGTGTCAAAGAAGCTGAAACCGCCAATGAGCATGAAATGAATGGCATCAAAGAAGCTGAAAAAGCCAATGAGCATGAAACGAATGGCATCAAAGAAGCTGGAACCGCTAATGAGCATGAAACGAATGGCGTAAATGGCATTCACCATATCACGCCCGAGCCCGAGCCCGAGCCTGATAGCGCAAACGATATTCTTGACACGAGCGTCGTGAACGAATACAGGCATCTTAGCGAGGACTTGCCGCATGCTCATTCACGTGATCATTCACAGGACCATTCTCAGGACCATTCTCAGGACCATTCTCAGGACCATTCTCAGGACCATTCTCAGGACCATTCGCAGGACCATTCTCATGATCTTGAGGGCGAGCTCGAAGGTGACCAAACACCGAACCGTCCCCTAAGAAAAAGAGCCAATAACGTGAATTATAATCTCAAAAAGTTGTCTGCCCAGGCTTCCGGCAAAGAGCGCAAGCCACGGGCGAAAGCCGGGCAAAATGCGCAGGTTGAGGGTCGTGTCACATATCTGCCACCAATCAACGACCCCGTACATCTAGACTCCTGGCGGTGTTTTTCTTGCGGCTGTCCCAACGATTCTTTAGATGTCTTGCGAGCTCACTTGAAAAACTTTCATCTTAACTACGACTATGCTCTAGAAATTACGAGCGAAGGGCCTCTGTTCCGTGTTACTCGCATTTCTGGCCTTGCCGATTTACCCACGAAGACATTGCAGCTTGGCAAGCCGACAGGACCATTCAACCTGAAAGATTACAATAAAGGCAACGAGTCGTGGATAACCTCACGTTTAGGGCCGGATCATAGCGAGCCTGATGTGTTATCACCAGCGAAAGCCACTACAAAGAAACTGTTCGACAAGCCTGCTATCAAACCTCCACAGCCCCTACCAGCAGCGCAAACTGTGGAACGGCGACAAGAGAAGAAGAAAGTTATCATCCCTGATTCATCACAACCACTATTCGACCCCACGAGCAAAGCTCGCCTCAAACCTGGCGATGAGCTGCCGAAACCTGCAGTGGATAACAAGTGGTTACTTCAGAAGCATCGCGAGGGAATCGGGGAGTTCTCAGACGTATCACCAGAGGAGAAGGAGTATATCTGCAGGTGGGATGCTTTTATGCTGCAGCAAAACGTTACTTCTAGAGCATACTTTCGACGGTCTTGGCTCAAGTTTGTCAAAGACAACGCATTATGGCTGGCGAGTGTAGGTCATCGAATGATCGAGTTCGGCAAACACTTGTGTGTGCTGATGGCGAAAGATGTTCTGGATGACCAGTGCGTTGATAGTGCCTATAGGCTGATTGAAGACGCAAGGACTCAGTTGAAGTCTGGCGGTTGTGACGAGGAGATGGGTAATATCAGAACCGCACCGGGGGACAGTCCGTCGAAACAGCTACCCCGAACTTCACACATCACGAAAGGCGCGAATGGATGCACAATCTGCAAGTTGCCTGTTCTCGGTCCCTCTCTACTGATTTGCTCAAACAAGGTAATGCATGTTCTACCATGAGACTGAGCTGTTACTGACCCTTCTTATAGAAATGCCCAAGCAGACTCTATCATAGGGGCTGTATTAAAGAGTCAGCTGCTACTCCAGTGACTCGTCCCAAGTGGTTCTGCAACGAATGCAGCAAGTCTGAGGGATCCTCCTAGAAAGGGGTGTCCTCACCCTTGTCCCGGGAGAGCGGCTCAGCAGTTGAACTTAAGCCATTGAATCAGCGCATCGCACGAATTAGAATCAGCAACCGATGTGCAGAGGGCTCTCATCCAAAAACTACACATTTGGCTGTACGTAAGGAACATGCAAGAAAAGGCGTTTCAGAATCCCTCGAAAGGCCCGGATTGCGCGGGGGTAGTAGTCGAACTTCAAAAATGGAAAGGGTAGTCTTGAAGACGAATGGAAAAGTAGGGAAGCCTCCAGATCATATAAAGTGAGAATCGGAGGCAGCAATATTTGGAGACACTTGACGCGGAAGAGGGTATTGGATTATTATTGTTGTTTTCATACGCATCTGGGGCGCTTATTGGGAACAGAGGTTGATGAGACGACACGTCAGGAGTCGGATGCTTGGTGGTTTGGGTAGAGAGGATTTCGGGGAAACAATTATTTTTGGGACGTTGCAGAATCCATGTGCCACAGCAGCCTCAAGTCTGTTGTTATACATTATATCTACCTGTTAAAGTATTTTGAATCGGTTATTTAAGTGAAGGGGTTGTGACTATGAACATTCTTGTCTGTATTGGGTTGTTAGTGAGGCAAAAAGGTTCATGGACAAACAAGGCCTCTACAGCGCTACATATGTCGTTAATGATACAAGAAGTATGACTGAATACATAGGCATCAAGACAGCATGTCTCCACTACGTAGTTTTGGGCGAGTTACTTGTGTCTCTACTTTTACAAATGCCGCCTTTTACGGCTGTCACGCTTACATGTAGGTGTTATGGTGCAGCCACAAGCATCATAATGTTGTTAAGTCGCATGAGATGCATGTTAGTTTGATAAGGCAAAGTCGTAGTTTCCGCTAATAAAGAGTACAAGTTGCCAGACTTGCGTGCTTTTGCTCAAATTTTCAAAATACTAAAATGTATCAAGAGGCTTGGGAATGCCAGGTAGTGGCACATGTAAGGCACACAACCACGTAAATAAGGCTTCAACAATAGTCCTTCGTGGCGGAGGTGACCATGAGTAGTGTTTGATATTTGACAGTCCTGGTCGGAATTATATACTGAGGATTGGGATTTGAGTATTAGAGTTACGTGTGAGCATAAGGGGAGACAACATTGACATACGAGCGGGTTGGGACTATGACTCCTGAATTGGCATCAGAACACTAGTCTGTTTGGGAAACGAATGCTCTAAGGCTATATCTGTGCTCTAAATTCAACTGCTGTCTGAACTAAACGGGTGTTGGGAACTCTCCATGGCTGCTCTATTGGCTGGTTGGAGCGAAGAAGTAGCACAAAACCCGAGGGCTATGAGTTCCAATACCTATCCCTCGCTGACATAGCTATTGCTACCTTAGGTCTTACTATCTCGCCCATAAAAAGTTGAACATGTTGGCTCGCAAACAATAGACCTTGCCAAGAAGTCTAACCCTTCCCATTGACTGGTTTAGTTTCTAGTAAGGTAAACCAGCATTCCTTAGTACTATTACAGGAACTTAAATACTTCGGGGCCTACGCCTCGGAAAATCTCAAATTAGTGGCTCTCATTGACTACCTACACTGCAATCTGATACCATATATGTACGAGGCGCTTCTTCGTCTATCGCAGTTCCAACCAAAAGCGCTTCTTACCGACTAGCTCACCCCAAGACTATGAATGAATAAATAGCGTATGTACTACATCACCTGGTCGCTTCGAATCCGCTCTCGTAGCGCACAGTCCATGGCTGCAGCAATGCACCAGTTGTTTTATGGGGGAAAATTGAGTTCATACGTAGAATGATCATCATCATTTGGACCCAGCTGGATTCTAACCCTTATACTATCGAAAGCGCCTCGGCATCCTCAGTCTTTACTAAAAGAGAACGCGCTCTGTCGTACAGGCGGATTGCACAATCAGGAAACGAGTCCGTGTACTCTCGTCAGCCTTGATACTTAATGCCAACACCACGGCACCCACAGCAATAGTAAAGCCCGATAAAATAAAGAAGTGTAATATTCCGTGACATCTGCTATCTATTACTACCGTGCATCGGAAGGATGTTCTTGGCCACAGGGTTTAAGGGCGATTCAAAGGAGCCGCTTATTGGACCGCTGAACTATTTAGAAACTCTCATTTGATCAGGACAGTCTCTTCTAAATGGTGATCTTCACTGGGAACTAGAGGAGGGCCAGATGAGATAGATGTTGGTACGACTGCTGTAGGAATGATGGCCCTCCATCATGACTCAGCGGGTAAAACGACCCTACTACTTTGGACCGAGAAAAATCGACAAAAGGAGTATGTTAACGGCCATTTAACCAGATTCGCAGCGCGTCCGCGCTAAATTGAGCATCGGTAGCTTTGCTGGTAGTTTCATCATGGCTACCTCGCTGCTGAGGTTTTATGAGGCCTTTACCGCAGTGGATCCTGGTATGGATGAAGAGAGCACAGAAATACAAGACGGAATGAAAAGGTGTCGATGGGCAAAACAAGATTGTATGTGATTTTGACAAGTATTTCTGAAGTATAAGATAATCTTGGGATATAGTCTTGATTGAATCCTGTTGCAGGCATGATCATGACAACCTGGTTCGCAGAACATAGCCTCGGAAATAGCTTAGCACTAACAAACCTGGTCACACTAGTTGGGTACCTGTAGACTAGGTATTGACTGGGAAATGCGATAGTTGTGACTTAATTACGCCAAGATCTCAGCATAATATCTGCGATACAGCACGATGGGATCTGGCCTCGTGGTTAGGAAGCCAATCATATATCCACTATCATGACATTGTTGACTCGTAATTAGCGTCTATCGGGATCCCAAGAGCTCTGCAGCACTTGTATGAGGATTGATAGACGTGGCGGCAGCATCTCATGCTGTGACATGGCATTCCCTGGTGACGCGAAACTGATCTGGAAGGGGTTGTGGCGATGTGCGCGACACCCTTGAATGAACCACTTCCTTCAAGTCGGACTCTGTTGTGCCATGGATCCAGTCTGCTGACAAGCGAATTAATTGTATGAGACTCAGTATATAGTGTAAATTTACAGTGTCACTGGTACATACGACCAAAGGTAGTG